ATTGCCGAATAAAACTGGAAAAGAAAGCAGAAATCAAGACATACAAAAACTGGGACAATGCGTTGGATTTCCTGCTTCGGCACGCTTATCTGTTTGCTGGTACACGTCTCGGGTTCCTACAGGCTATCCACCATTTCGGCAGAAGTTGCTGCCGCTGTCAGTAAAGTTTATTGTAGAATTTGCGGTAGAAGATGGGGTAGTGCATATTCCAAGTTACAAGATCCGATATAAACTTGCCCTTCATTCGAATCCGGCTGCTTCTCCTTGACCGGGGGTAGTTATAGTACCCAAGCGATTTGTATCGGTCGCATTTCTTAGTTTGGGATACAGGAAAATGTACCAAGCCTAGTATTTCCCATAATGGAACGCTTCGATGTGTTTCTAGTCAGTAAATGTCAAGCAAATATCACAAACACTAGAAGAATCATAAGAACCCTCCTATTCCCGACCCCATCCCAATGTAGCAACTACTACTCTTCCACCCCCAACTCCCTTAACAAATCCGCCTTGATATTCTTCAAAAACTCCTCCATCTGCTGCTCCGTATGATACGCCTCATTAAAGACTAGCCTCAACGTCAACTGATCCCGAAACGTCCAAACATACACCACGCCCTGTCTTGCGAGCATCTCCACCCCAAGTCCCGCAAACAAGATACTAAACCCACTCTCAGGACTTCCATACTCCCTCTGCAAATACTTCTCTAGAACCCCTAAACTACTGATATCGACATCACTCGGCGGCTCATCCGGTGCCGGAAGGTTCCGCAGCAACTTCACCAACATAGTCGCATATTCGCGATGAGCGAGGATATACTCTTCACTAAGTCCCCGCCGATACTCAGCGTGATACTTGCGCGCATTCTCTTCCCAGGTACTTGAGGCGTCGACGCGGTACATCCAGCCCGTGGTGAACAGCGTGGCGGCTCCCGCGGGGCCGGAGTATGGTTGGGGCATATACGGCCGCAGCGTGTGCCGGATAGTGCTGGTGTAGTGACGACCCTGGGCACGGTGCTCGGGGATAGCATGCCGGAAGTTTACTGCTGCGACGCTTGCGTGCGTGGCGGCAGTAATGCCGAGGCCCCGGGCTTTCGTGGCGGAGAGAACAGCGGCGGTGGTCGCCGGGGTGAAGGTTAGCTCGGCGGCTCGGGTGCCCGTCGGGATGGTGGTGGCGTCGCCCGTGTATGGGATTCCGATGGAGCCTTGGGCGTGGGCGAAGGTCTCTACTGCTTCCTGTGCGATGTCCTTTTGCTCGTCAGTCGGGGTTAGGGTCATGTTGCCGGCTTCTTCGACGGATAGGGATAGTCGGGTGGTTTCTGTTCCCCAGGTGAAGGCGTCGAAGGGGTCGGGGATGTTCCCTGAGAGAATGGTGTCGGCGTGAGTGGCCATTAGGTCAACGAGCTGGCCGAGGAGGAGGAAGCCGCCTACTCCGTCAGTGCGCCAGTGTGCGGTGTGCAGGAGGATTTGCGAGGATTTTGGGATGTAGTAGAGTTGGGCGTCAGGGGCGGGTGCGATGGTACGGATCACATCGTCGGCGGATTGGGCGTCCGGTTTGATGAAGAAGGTCCGCGAGACCCATTGGTTGAGGGCATCGACAGAGTCAGGAATTGTGTACACGAGGTTGGCATTGGAGGAGTCTGGATGCGCGGCTAGACTAGGGTGTTGGAAGCGCAGGTGCAACCAGCTGTGGCGGATCAGGGCTGGGAGGAGATCGGCTGCGAAGTCCCCGCGGGGACGGATGGTGATAGTGTAGTTCACTGCCCAGTGTTCACGGCCTAGTGGGTGGCCAAAGTCACTGACCAGCTTGATGAACACCTCGTTAGGGCCAAGGGGCCGGGTGAGAGTGTTCGGCGAGTGCTCGGTTGTAGTCCACGGCATGATTGTGAGAAGTGTAGTGGCCGTTGCGGGGTCGATGTAATAATAATGGTCGATGGTTTAATAGATGATTGAAGTGTTACTAGGTTCTAAGCCTCGTCTATTGGGGGCCTAAGATTTTAGTGGGGTGGGAATAGGCTGTTAGTTGTCGCACTATAAAGTATAGCCTCGTCCGTGCTGATCCGACGTGTGAGATGAAAAGGCCACTGTCTATCATGCAATCCTCAGTGGAGCGCGATACAATTTTCGGCAGCGCAATCGGCCGACTAATGGAAACACTCACCATCATTAGAGACGAGTTTTTACTTGATCCAGCAGGTTATCCGTTGAGAGTAAGCACTACCAGCGCACTAGCATGCATTACTCATTCCAGTCAGATTGAGCCCCACTACTCAGCCATGATAATACTACCTGGCTGATGGAACTGGAATCAGAAAGAAGAGAGCGTGTTATCATGGATATGATTATAACGTACATGAACCAACAACACTCAAGCTGATCCATCAAGCTCATATTCCCAACGCAGGTGGACGGTGCAACCTCTCGAGTGATTGCAGTCCTTGACGGCAAACTCTGCGCTCCTCTGCTGATGAGAGAAGCATAGACGGACATCGGCCGAGTCAACGTTCGGTCGTTCTACAAGGGGTCTGAGTACTCCTCCTTGCGTGATCTAGCAGTATTCGAAAATGAATGGGCACCGGTTGGGAATGAAGCCATCCTGCTGCCAAATGACTACCATACTACTTATGCTGCTGCGACTGATGATCTACCCACATTTCTATAGCCAAAATTCTGCGTACAGCAGTATCCTCAATGTCAGACTAAATGGAGACTTTCCAATGCCTCTCATCGTAGAACGGCCCTTCCAAAGGATTCTCAAAACTCATACTGATAGCCCCATGATGAAGGAGAGCCTCAATTGTCCTGGAACTTCGTATCTCCCGAGCATGGCATATAGCTGACATAAAAGGTTCCGAGCGCATATTAACATCGATTCCTTGGGCCAAAAGAAACTCAAAAATTGCTTTCCTTCCAGGTACCACAGCTGCGAGCAGCGCCGAACCAAAAAAGCCTCCGCGGGAATTGATATAAGCTCCGTGCTCAAGCAGAAGCTTTGCAATGGGCACTGACCCCACATATGATGCAATATGGAGGGGATCACCTAGTGGGCGATTGGATGGATGCACCTGGGCTCCGTTGTTAAAGAGGTGCCGCACTATTGATTCGGAGGTATTTCGAACATCTTCGAGTTTCCTCTCGAGGTGGGTTTTCTCGATCCCAAAGTCGTCGGTCCTATTTATTTGAGAGGTTGTTCGATCATAGTCGCTCCCCAAGGCCAGCTTTAACAGTTCCTCGCCTACTTTCTTCTCCAGTTCACAAGGCCTCACCCATTACGGCTTGGCTGTTCGGAATAAGATGGACCTTCGAAGCCAGTACATCTATCACGCCTTCGCTTCCCACGTATGAGGCTTTCAGGAGAGCCTCGCAGTAGTCCATCTTTGACAGCACATCAGGACCTTTATTCATAAGAAGCTGAAAGAGCTCATTGTGACCACCTGAGATGGCTTCCCTGAAGCACGTTTTCCATAGGAATGACATTTCCTAACACTTTCAGAAGAAATGCCAACGTCCGTTCAGCACCATGCCGACAAGCCATTGCCATGGATTTCGACAGCAACAGATGCAATCTTGACGGTGCCACTTCCAACTTCACAGCATACTGAAGAACGTCGAGACTGTTGGACTTCGATGATTCGTACAAAATGAGCTCCCACAGTCTTCGGTACTCGCTTCCCAGTCACTCAAAAAGAACTGTCCCAAGGGGGCCATTACTTCGTCCGAGGGTATTATGGGCGATCAAACAAGAATACCCCAACTGTCTAGGGCCATAGAACGACCTTCCGTGGGATTCTCCAAATCCGTCCGGTGGCGCCATAATGGACGAGTGCCTCAATCCTACAGAGCACAGTACAGTGCAATTCCAAGTAGTTCTGAGTACATGATGACATGGGGTGCGGATCCCAGCTCCGCATTCCAGCAAAACAGCAAAAGCTTTACCACGGGACACTGACCCCACGTACGATGCGGTATGGAAGGACCGGAATGATCTTGAACTTCAAGGTATGGCAGCTATAAGCTTTATAGTCGAAACCTTAGCAACAATACTAGATGGAGATAATTGTATAATCATATAATAATTAATAGTAAACATAGGTTTCACCAAAACTGTACGGTAGTACCCATTAAAAGATCGAATGCACTAAGAAACTTTATGCTGATAATCTGCAATCGACTGATAGTATGACCTCCGTATAAAGACGTAAATGATCCAGAAGAGATACCGACGCTGGCTAAAAGTAGACTAATCCATGAGATCAATAGGAATCTATCTTAGCCCCTAGCATTCATTCTCTATGGTCTATTCCCAAGTCAAGGAAGTCGCCGAATGCTATATTGTGCGCTTTCTAGATATTCTGCGCAAAAGCTCTCGGTTCCCGCACGTGATAGCTGTCACTAATTGAAGTTTATCTGCAAACAGCATAGAAACTATAACCCCGGTCCAATGAACTGAGCGAATGAATCATCGACTAATAGCAATCTCGATGTTCTAGCCTCAACAATGTGCTTTGTGATGGCGTGTACAGGCTCAAAAAGCGGTCTTTTTTTGCGGTCTAGATCAATCCATATTGCATACAGCCCGCCGTTCGCAAACAAATCTTAATAAAATTGGGAGAATATGCCGTATCTACTTGATTGTTTGGCGTAGGCCACATAATAGTTAGAAGGTAAATAAACTCTTGCCCTCTTGAGTCCGCCAGTAGCATTTTGAGAAGCGGTTAGTAGCAACGTCATGCATTGGGTAGTGGAGACCTTCGCACCCCACTCAAGCCCTGTCATTGGTCTACTTTTACTTTTGATAGAATGAACTGAACCCTTATTTTACACACTACAGGAATCGACATAATAGTACCAGCAGTACCTCCCTACATATAAAAGGGCCGTGATGTATCCTGAGGTTCGAACCAACTTCTGTTTTTAATGTTTCTTCCATTCACCAAATCTACCACATCGCGATTCAAGATTGAACTTCCCTTTACTTACACTGTCCCCCAAGTGCGAGTCATCATGCCCACTTCTCAAGGAACCTTCAGATGGACGGCTCCAAATCGAGCAGATGCAGAGTTCGATATTGACGGTACATCTTCCAGATGCGTCATTACTCTCAGTCGACCGGTTCAAGATTTCGGAAAGACATCAGCAACATTGGATTACGAGGATATAGAACAACTCTCCGGCACACATTTCTTCGATGGCCATATTGGTAGAGCAGACTTTGAAACCGATTTTTATAACGCTCCCAAGATCCAAGGCAACCTAGATTCACTTATTGACCAATACATATTCGTTGATGGGAATGGAATGTGGACACATTCCTAATCAGATTGAAAGTATGTACTATTGTCAGACTTTACTAGCAGGCACTTTCTCCTGGAGGAATCTTTGAAACTCTAACAAGTTTCCTGCAGAAGCTGAAGAAATATTCTGACTAGCCCGGAAAAGCAAGCTGGTAGGAGGCCTTTATTTCTAAAACATGTCTCTCTAAGTATAGTCATGATTTCTTCAACCTTTGCAAGCCTCAGTACAGGTTTTTCCTTCTCAATTAGAGGGTTTTTTTCCTGCACCTATATGCGAATGCAGAGGCAACTGTAACCTAGTATAAAATGCTTATATCACCTTCAAAAATATTTATTTTACTCTAGTCAATGAGATGAGGTCCCTCTTGTTAATTTGGAGTGCACTTCTCCTCGTCACTTTCTGATCATTCATACTCTCGGAGCCGATGCGGATTGACATGTTAGGTATTTATGCAGTATACCCCCAACCCAAGGACCGGAACGAACCATAGAATTTTGGCCTCTCCCTTCCCGTCTTCCACCATATTTAGACATGGGCTTGACCATACTAATTCTTCATCAAATCCCGAAACCCCCCCCCCCCCCCCCCCCCAGATTAGCACTACTGAAGTGATCATTCCTTCGACCTCAGTTTCATTGACTCCAGCGCTGTCATAATCACGTCTATCGGCTAGAGAATCTCTTGATAATTCACGCATGGGTGGGCAGGACATACGCGTTCTTGAAAGACAGGCAGGAGGGTGTCCAGATCGGCTTCATCAAGACATCATATAAACGCCTCCTTCATACGCGGGAATTTCAAGCCCTTACTCAGTAGGTATGATAAATGCAGGGATCTTACGCCTTCTGCCTGGTATTCCTTTGCTGGAAAGGTAGGCCACCGAGTGGGGAGGAGCGGCGGGTAACTATATTAGCTTAGGTAATCACCTAGCTCCGCGCCAGACCGCATAATAAACGGACTCTCTTCTCCTTCCGATCCCTCTTGGGCGTTATCTCTTGTGCCTAACTTCATCATGAAGCGAGCCGGGCGAACCGCTTGGACAAGTGTTTGTCTTACCGGAGCTCGCAGGTGTTTCGCTGCTTCTCTACCCTCCACTTCTTGCTGTCGCCGAACTTCCCTATTGTCTGCTCCACAAGCATATCAATTCAGTGGAAGCACAACATCCTGGAAGAAACTTTATTCGCAGACTCCTCGACCACTTTTATCTTCAGGGGCCTCATGGCTGTCACGCCTGTCTTGTTCACGAGCCTCTCGGAATGACTGCAGACTTCCTGGTGACGATGGCTCCTCGGAACGAAAGAACCCTTGATTTCATGAAGCCTGCTATCCGACAGCTACTTGTCGCCCTGGACTTTCTGCATTCGGAGTGCCATATCATCCATACAGGTTATATACTTACCACCCCCCTTGGAGACCTTAGGTTACAGATCTAACGTTGGCACAGATCTTCAGCTGAAGAACTTACTACTTCCCGGCCCGGAGACAAGCCATCTTTCCCGATTCGAAGAGCGTGAAGTTGCAAACCCAACACCCCGAAAGAAGCCCAAAGATCGAACAATCTACAAGTCTTTAGGTTTCCTTTCTCCAGGAGGACTGCCAATTCTCGCTGATTTTGGGGAAGCTCGATTAGGCGATAAAAAGCACAATGGCGATATCATGCCGAATGTTTATAGAGCTCCGGAAGTGATTCTAAGGTCGAGCTGGGACTACAAGGTGGATATATGGAATATCGCCATGGTCGTGAGTAGAATTATTCTGAATTTTGTTTTGTCTCGAAAATGCTAATATCAGGGTATATTTAGGCCTGGGATATTGTTAGCTCTCGCACCCTGGTCAATGGCAAAAACCCAGATGGCATATTTGATGATCGGGTTCATATGGCAGAGCTGATTGCCCTGCTAGGCCCCCCGCCCCCTGAATTCCGGGAACAGAGACACCTCAGCTCGGCCTTCTGGGATGAGTCAGGGAACTGGAAGGATGTTGCCCCCATTCCAGATATTACCCTCGAGAGCCTGGCGGAGGAGGTGGAAGGGGAAGACAAAGAAGGGTTTTTACGGTGGCTCCGGATGGCCTTGCAGTGGAACCCTGAGGACCGGCCCACGGCCTTGGAACTCCTATTCGACGAGTGGATGATGAAGGGGCTTTGAAAGTGAAGGGGGGACATGCAAATACGCGGCTGAACAAGATCAACGACCGTTATACGGACTTGAACCATTCTGCCACTGGAGAGCAATCAGTACCCTATCAGGTGCTCCATGGTCGGCAGGATACTGACGATGAGAAAACACCAAGAATCTCCTCTGAACCGGCTATAAAGTACCAGTAGCAATATCACACCTAGTAGAATAGGTGCTGAGTATCTGCTTATTGACCGGTGAATGGCCACGTACTAATAGACCTTCTAGTACCGAGGAATTTCCTTTCTTGTGTTTGCTCTCTATTTAATCCTCCATATCATCTTAACCAGCGTAACCTTGTTTACCCGAGTGAACGCTTCCAAAGCACAGTCTCGCCCTCGCCATTAATGAAACTATACCCTGCTAGACGGATTCGATGGGCCGTGCCAGTGGCGCTAATTAGCCCTTTCAGCTGTTGTCACTTAATATCGGTGAGTGAGGGGTTACTGACTTCCCTGCTCGTTGCGTCTGCGTGTTGAGCTCATGCTGGCGCAGTCGAACCAGCTTGGCGGCTGGAACGCCGTCTGGTGGACCTTCCAGGCCTCGACGATCCCCCTGCTGGGTCTCTTCATCAACGACCCGACCGCTAACGATCCGCGCGCCTCCATCGCTCGTGCCAGGCCCAGGTCGAGACCACCATGGTCACTCTGACGCGCATGCACTCCCTCGGTCATACTGCCAAGACCTCACTGGACGCCGTGTCGCGCATCTTCGAGGCAAGCGAGCACCGTGACAACCTCGCGGTATATAGCTCCGCTCTGCCTGTCCTGGCTATGGCGATGGATTCGGCGTGCCGGGATATGGGACTGCGTCGGGGATGGTGCCGCAGCCCGAGATGACCAGTGCGATGACCGACCCCAGTGACACCGCTTACACCTGGATGCCCTCATCTACCCCTTTGTCAACGACGCATGATCTCAGCTGGGGGTATGTGGCCTGGTTTTGTTACGGATATTGGAATACCATGCGTGCTGTAAGCAAGGAGATTGTTGATTATTGCGTTTCTCTCTTGTTATTCGCCATGATACCGTAATGAATGGCTGCGGTGCGCTGCGGTACGGGACCCACATTCCGTAGACGCTCCCGCAGCCAAAAATTATGCAGTCTAGCTGAGTGGCTGTCAGCTGGTACAAATGTACCAAGCAGGAAAGACCTTGAGGCTAATACCTGATAAGAGGGTTAGAGCCTGACTAGCTACTTGATGACGATAGAAGAATCGACCCCCGAAGCGAAATTCCTGCACGTGTTTTGAGGAAACCTATATACCTACGGAAGAAATGAAACGCTAAGTCCAGATACGGTTCCACTGTTAGAATCAGAGAATCCCTTGATCACGAATCCCCATTCAAGCTGGCTGCTGTGCACCCTTTGCGAAGAACATCCAAGTGTCCTAATAATTTCATGACCACTGATTCACAAAAATCTAGGTAGAGGCCGAATTTATGTCACGGTCGAATGCATATCAAATGCGTGCCGTTGGAGGTGCATTTTGCACGAGAAAAGCTTGTCACAGACATTATATTCTATTTCGGACTGCGTGGAGATACGGCGAAGATGCTTTCACTTAATATATTTAATAACATCTCCATAGCTGGAGAATTTATACTACTAAAATATTTATTTAAATTAATTATATACTGTGCTCAGATTATGTATATAAAATATTTCTTTATATTATTTAATCTTATTCTTCTAGATAACTTAACTTAATTTACTCTTTTACTTCGCGTTCGTTTTGTTCATTGCTGCTTTTATTGCTTGTATAGAGTGCTCCTCAAGAGATTATGACTCCAGTCCAATCAACTTCCGCTTATGAATCATCAACCGACACCACGCTAAGTATTTTATGTCCCAGCTCCGACAAGGTGCTGGATTTGCGTCTAATTTCTTGAGGTCAGTTCTATTATGCGTTCTGGATCAATCCAGACAACTTTGTATCTGTGGGAGGGTGTCGGCTTTGCCTGTCTGATGAGTGTCCATTGTGTAAGAGGTGTTGGACTATCTAGTTCATGAACTAAACTTTAGTGATCAGAAGGTTATGTGAACCATGATTCAAATCGTTGAGTTATGCAATAACATGCAGTTCGTAGACAACTTACCGTCTCCTCATAGATATTTGTGAGAACTCATTCATCAAACCCAGCTCCAACCACCACTCATCTATTCAGCAACCTCAACAACAATATGCCCAAAACCCCGAGAAACACAAGACAACATCTCCGATTTCTGCTCCGATTCCATCAAAGCCGTCCCCCGATGCAACACCCTCCCACAGCGAATAGAAACCCTGCAAGCTCCACAATTTCCCACCTCACAAGAACTCCCAATCTCGAAGCCCGCATCTCGCACAACCTCAAGAAGCGACTGCTCAACCCCCACCTGAAGTCCCTCTGACTTTCGACTTGGACCAACAATATCCACAGTGAAGGGGTCGCCGGCGGCATCATCACCATCGAATGCCTCATAATGCACCTCATCAGGAGACATATCCACAGCGGTGGCCGTCTTTACCACGGCGTCGATCATGCGCTGCGGCCCACACACGTAAACATGGCTGTTCCAGATGCGATTTCGTAGGATCTCAGCAATGTCCATTCGTTGGCCCTGCGATTTATCGTAGATGGTGACATGCGGCTGCAGGTCCGCCAGCAGCGATTGAAAGGCGACGTCGGTGGCGCTCCGCACCGCATAATGTAGGGAATAGTCTTGATTTGTCTCCTTGAGGCGTTTCATCATAGCGAGGAGGGCGGTGATTCCTATTCCGCCCGCGATAAAAATGTGACGAGACGCCATCTTGTCGATGGCTAAGCCCTGCCGTATCCCAGACCCCACTAAGACCGTGTCCCCCCGTTTGAGTGTTTGATGGATATAGCTCGACCCGCCGCGGCTGCGTTCGTCCAGGGCCACCCCCAGTGTAAAGCGACCCGCGTCACCGTGAACGATGGAATAGGCGCGTCGTAACCCGCTAGGAAGCTTGAGCCGGGCATGACTTCCGGGTTGGATCGCACCAGGTGCGGAAGTACTTCGGCGAACTGCCTCCAGCTCCAGGCGCACTATGCGAGGAGTTTCCGCAGTATGACTAGCAACTCTGAACTGTCTCCAAGTCTCGGGTGGACGCTTAGCTGCGGCCTCCTTCTCTTGATGTGCTCTCCAGCGCTCGATAAATACATCCCTACACTCATCACCAAGGACATCCATTGCCATAAGATGCTGCGTCATCGCTAAGTCTGTCTTGTCGCGGTGGACGTAATGGTGCAAACGGGCGATCGACCATCGCGGATGACTTCGGCGAATGACGCTGATCTCCAACCTTTCTTGTATCCACCCTTCCTCTATGACACGATAATACCATCCCGTCTTAGCCTCCTGGTGAGTGAGCGGAGCGAAGTTCTTGATCCCGAAGCGCTGGTTTAGCTTGAAGCACGGCTGGCGCGGCAGGCTGACCTCCAGCACACAACCGTTGCGACCGCCAGTGCTCAGGGAGCCCGGTGGCCCGATGCGCACCCTATCACCGATGCATACGGTCTGCTCATTCCAGCCATCGGCAACGAGGTTCTCGCCAAAGCCGCCGGGTACGAAGCGTGTGCGAGCCTCGGGAAAGCGATCGGCCCAAAAGGCATAGTGGTCTGCGCAGTACTGAAGAATGGCTTTGTCGATGCCTCCGTGGAAGGTCAGATCGTGTTCGTCATCTTCTAGGCCGGTAGTGGAGACGTAGAGGTGGCCAGGGCGGGTTTGCTTGTCAATGCCGGAGAGGACGGGACCAAAGGAGCGGAGTTTGGAGGTGCGGATTTCTTGGAGGGTCGCTGGGGGTGGGATGGGAATAGCGGGTGATGGTGAGTTGAAATCGATGCGGGTCATTCTTGTAAGTATTATATCTGCAGATGTTGGAGGGGGTCTTATTTCACCGTTGGTGCATTTTTGCTGGAAAATGAGCCTAGGGCTGCATTTATAGTATAACTCTCCGGATAGGACCAAACAAGTTAGTGATCCGTGGCTGTCGTTCACGCTCACCCGAATAGGAAGTTATCTGGTGAGGGACCCACTCCTCCAACCCTAGTTTGTTTTTTGTTTTCCTCCTCACACCCCGGCTCTGTTGACTCTGGTAGGCCAGTATGTCAACTGTGATCATTCTGCTCAGTTAAGAATGGCCAATAAATCACTGGTTAGGCATCAGTCACGTTACTTGCACTGATAGCCTATTTATTTGTCTTGGGCTTCCTTCCTCAAGCGGCGTTCGCTCAAGTGTAATAAAAGCCAGAGAAAGCGTCTGCCTCGCAACCCACAAAATCGGACGTGGTGCATAACATATTGAGTTCTCCATTGTCAAATGAGATATGTGGCCAACGACTCACTGGACCTCGCGTTTGGTGGTGCTGGCGCTATACAGAGGTGGTTGATGCGGGAGTAGACGGGTCTACTTTGGTTGTTGTTGGTCATCTAGTAGTCACTAGAATGGCTGAAAGATAAGCGGATATCACCATAATAACCTGTCAAATTAAATAGTACTACCACGTAGACCAAAAAGGACGCATTTGTCACCGCAGCAGAATGATCATATACACTCTCTTTAAACATACAGGCACATCCAGCACTACCCCAAATCCAGTCTAGTTCCCATCCCATCCACCGATTTCATTGATCGAAACCAAAAGTTCCGCCCCATACCCCCCACCTACCATCAACCAATAACCGTCACCATCCACCTCACAGCCTACTATCTACACTGACTCTGATACTGTGTAGTAGATATAACCCATTCATTCATGTATCAAGCCAGCATCTCATCTTCTTACAGTTCATCTCATCTCTATAATCCCAAACTAAATCCTCGTCTACCACCCTTAAGCACCTGCCCATCAATAAAGCTATATTACGAAATACCACACCAACTCAACCAACAAGAAACGTGAACTTCCGCTGCATTTCACCGACCATATACCAATACCAAGATGGCCTGGTCCAAAGCAACCATCATCGCGCTGGTGACTCTGCTTGTAACGGGGCCTCCATCGCTGCTTATTCTTCGGTGCAGATGGCGGAGGAAATCCAAACGGGAGAATGATGGGCGTGACACGGGGCATGGGGAAACGAATGGATGGGTGGCTAGAAGGGATTCTAGATATGATGTTCCAAGAGGTGAGTGGGCCTTTCTTCCCTTCTTCCTTGGGAGTATATGCTAGTGAAACTGGGATTTGGGTTGAGGTTTAGTTCTAAAGGTTGAAACAGAGGTGTTCGTTTCGCAGAGGGTGATCAGTGAGGTTTGTGTGGGTTATAGAATTGTGGAAAGGGAGGTGGATCCGTAAAGGTGTATTTGATATGCGTGGGTAGAGGAGGAGAGCTTATATTGGCAAATGTATATTATAATTGAATAAAGCGTTAACAAATAAATGCCTATGATTGTATATAACCCAGCAACCATCTCATCACATCGAGATGACCCTTTCGTTCTGCGGATGCGGCAGCTCTACAACACACAAATGACAAGTTCGGCCGATCTACATCTGCATTCAGGAATAACTGAACCATATCGAGATATCCGTGCTCTGCGGCTCCATCAATGGCCAACCTGCCACCAATAGGCGCTGCTGGGGCCGCCACATCCGCCCCCTTGGCTAACAATCGCATGGCAAGACCACAGTATCCGTGCATAGCGGCGGCTTGCAATGCCGTGGCTCCGTGATTCTTTGCTGGGCGGGCATTCGCGTCGGCTCCGTGGTCGAATAGTAGGTTTGCGATCTCCACTTCTTCATCCAGAATGGCTAGTTTCAATGGCGTTCCTAGGTTGTCCGTTGCTGGGGTATTTATGTCGGCTCCATTGTCGAGCAATAACTGGACGACGCCTATTCTGGGTCCACTGACAAACCGCTTGACTGAACGTTGAAGTAGTGTTCCATGGTATAACGGATTGTCGTCGTCAATTTAAGCAACATTTATGTCCGCCCCAGCGTCAATCAACAGTCAGACTATCTCGAAGTCGGGTGCCCAGTCATTATCTATTATAAGACGAGATATTATTGTTTTGAGTGATCGGCTGCAGTGTTCAGGGCAATACTGCGACATCAATGTCATTATTCTCTTAACAACGCCCGCTTGGCCGACTTCAACCGCCGTCTCGAGCGCCGGTTTCTTTCCTATGAGATTGTTGAAGCCGAGGCCATACTTCAATAGCAAATCGATGATATCAAGTGAGCATGTATATGCAAGAGCGAAGGTGAAGGCAGTTTATGAAACATCGTCATTGATATCAGCGCTGTTGGGATTAGCGCCACACTTCAGTAGTAACTCAATCATTCGGTGGTCTCTCTCTTCTATCGCATGACCCAAGGCGGTATATGCGGTATCTCCGGGGTATGGTGGCAGGACGTCAATATCTGCACCATCTTGTGCGAGAGATCGCACGCCATCGGGCCATCCCAAGTACACTGCATACTGGAGGTCTGTTTTGTTTCCGGCACGGAAGCAGTTGTACATGTAGGGTGAGATCGCTCTTTTACGTCTGCACCTCCATGAACTCTAATAGATGATGTGCTGCGAGGTCTTTTTTTCTGAATCGCAGCATGGAGGGCTGTGAGTCCATCCTCCGGCCCGGCTGGCGCATGCACATCTCCCTGCTTGTCCCGGATTACCTAGAGACTGACCAAATTACCAGAAAACGATGCCGCTTGCAACGTGGTGATCCCGCCGCAGAAACCTGGTTTGGCATTGATATCGGCTCCCATCTGTAGTAGATTTAATCCTTGTACTCATTCAAATTACCAGACCCAAAAGAGCCCCGTATCAGTATACATTGTAACTACCTCCCCGTGTCGGGATAGGGTACGGGTCGTGCTTCTACGCCCTCGGCGTGCCAGGGCAATAGAACGGGAGGGACTCTTTCATCAATTCGTCGGTTTTTGGCTAGTACCAATCAGAACGCAGCTTGTTGGCCGACGGCCAACAAGCGGTATTTCGATTGGTGTGTTTGCCCGTAGTCCGCCGTGCACGGTCGCTGGGTGTAAACAAATGAAAACCATCATTTTTCTTTTGGGACGAGGATCGTCTCGTCCCAATCCGGTAGCCCTCACATCTCACCTACACATCCGAGAATCTTGCCTGATGTAATCATCAATAGACAGGTTAGTGAAGGATCCGGTTCCCGCAAACTCATTTGCAGCACATTCGGATGGAGCCACCGCGTATGGGGTCAACTCGGACGGCCATGCCGGGTTTGAGCTAGTGAGTTCCAGCGAGGCACCATAATCCAGTCGACGCGGGGAATGAAGCATGCCGAGTGGCAACTACCCCGATCCGAGCCAATGATTAACTGGGACCTGCTAGTGTAGACAGGCCTTCTCGGGCTACGTTGCCTTGATCACCTGCGACGATTCAATGGAGGCTTGCATTGTGGTTCTCCCGGGTTGCCAGCCCGCAGCTGCGTTGGTATCTGCCTTTGCTTCGAGCAGTCTCACCACTATTGTTAAGTTTCCTTGTGCCAGCTGCCTGTGTCGCCGTCCGGCCAGAGTACTTTCCCGGCGGAGCGTTGACGTAGGCTCCGCGATCGAGCAGCATACACGACATCGATAAATCTCCTCTGCCGGCCGCTATCTGTAGCGGGGTATCTCCGAGGTCGGGGCTGATTTTCGATTCCTGATCGGCTCCAGAATCAAGTAGCAGTGACATGAGCTCATTGTTCTCATTTAAAGTTGCATACTGAATGGCATATGCACAGGCCATCGATAGAAAATTTGACCATCCAACAGAGGGCATGCGTGACTACGAAACGTTGACATCGACACCTCGCAATAGGAGCATTGAAACAAGCTCCACGTTCCCTGCCTGTACGGCTGCTGGGATTAGTTTGATCGTAAGGATGTTAACTGTTGGGTATTGCAACTTGAAGACCTCTTTGAAAACCCAGTTGTATTTATTTGCCCCACTCCATTAAAAGACACGTGTGATGTCGTCCATATTCATGAGGTCATTCGTGATAAGGAATACGAACGTGTTGAATACTTGCCTCAGGTGTGAGGGATTATCAAGTCCGCCGAGGTCGCGAGAGAGAAGACTCGACTCGATCCCATTATTTTTGACTTCGTACTGTTTCAGGAACCCAGTCAACTGGTGGAGATCAATTTGCTGATTCTCTGTGTTAATATGCCGTTGTATAGATAATTTTTGAATGACTGTTAGTGCAGAGTGGGCCCCCACAGGTTGAGGGGCTGATAATCTTGAACGATCGAACCGTGATCCAGAAAATCGGTTATCTTGATAGCCGTCCTGTAGTATTGGATAGAAGATGCTGGGTGGATCATGACTAAAACCAGTGGGAAGATTAAACCAAGTATTGCCAATTGACGAGTCAATCGGGGATTTCTGAAGAACCCAGTCCTGCAGGAAAAGATCGAAGACGTTCGTTTGGTTAACGGATGAAACCTCACAAGCGCCTCCCATACCCCTAAGGATGAGAGCCAAAGGGCCTGTTTGGCTATATGATTGCCGATTAAATGGTAAGTTGAGCATGTCAACATTTGCGGCTGGTGTGCTGAATGATCGCACTACCGCAAACTGACTTTGATACTTGAATAATATCCAAGGGAGGTTATCAGTGCGGACCTCCCTCGTAGGGACCAACGACCTCAGCATCAGTCGAGGTGTAGGAACCTCCACACCCTCTAGTGCGGTGTCATTCTCCCCTATTCGCCCGATAGCTTCGTGTCAGCCACGCCGCCTATTCCCAACCAGCCCATGAAGACTGGGAAAACTCACCTTCCAACGCAAAGTTAGTAGCAGATGTAACATGTCTCGCCATTTCCCTCTCTGCCTGCTTAGCCGTGTAGATCTTCCCATGCATAAGCACCTCGTAATCTTCGTTCCCCTGTAACTTTCGTTTGGTAACCTCTCGCTGCACAAACACCCATGCTGAGGTCGTACCGTTCTTCCTCACCCCCCAAACTTTGAGCTTCTTCTTGTACTCGGATTCCCTGGTACATGATGAGCACAGATCGGTATGCGGGCAGTAAATCATACTTTCTGTGGAATCCATGCTTCGCGATCATATGTTTCATCACCCGGTTCAGTGGGTTCTTGCGGTAGAGGGAGGAGACTTCTTTTTTGTGTTTGCTCCATTCAGCATCGTTTGAAGACATGATTAACCTTTGTCCAGTGTATACTGTAAAGAAAACGCGGCTGTTCTGATTACTGCCGGTGGTTCAAGAGAGGTTCAGGTAAAAGAGGTTGGCGCAGCTGGTTATTAGCCTCGTACTCAGCCTCTCGGATAAGGAGACGCTAAGAAGTACTTAGTGCGTAGTTTGAATAGAGGCACAGCCACGGACTTGCGGCAGGGATCCTCTTCCGTCAGGATTGGCACAGAAGCTTGGGGGCTTTGCGCATTGTAACTAGACAAAGAGCCAAGGTGAGTTGGAGTTTATTACTATGGAACTCTTGTTGTTTTATGTGCTGGATTTTTTGATGTTTTCGTTGTAGTTGTCGAATAACAGTCAAAATCGGATCGAGTTGGGTATGTGTATCGATCTCTTTTTCACGGCATGCAATTGAAGCTCGCGGAATGAATATTATCTAATATCATCTTGCATCTACTTAACTGTTCATCCGGGATAATCACCCTGTCCAGCACGTTCAGACTACAATACTCCTCAAGGCTAAACTCGGATTCCCAACCTCGCAGCCTCCGCCTTTAGAATATCCGGCACTTCGTCCTCCAGGCTATTCTCTCGTGGCTTCCACCCTAAAACCCTCCGTCCTCTCAGCGCCTTGCCGCGCGAATTCCAACCCCAGCTTGCAGCCTCAAAGCCCGCCGGCGACTTGATCGCCTCCTCAAGCGAGAGCTCCTTAACATCCGGCTTCTCCTTCAACAGTCCTAAAGCATGTGCCTGCTCCCCCACCAACTTCGCCAAGTCACCCCAGGCATGCTCACCGTTTTCACAGAGAAAGTACCCCTTCTCACCCCAGATCTCCTTGTCAGCCTTCTTGCTAGGATCAAGCGCTGCATCAACGAGAGCCCCAAACAATGTACTCAAATCATAAACATGCACATTATTCCAACGTGCCAGACCCTTTCCGATCTGAGGGGTGTAGCCCTGTTTCAAGATGAAGCTAGAAAGCTCATAGGCCTGTCTACCGCGAGAAGACACGGGTCCTCTTCCTTTTCCGTAGATAGTAGGTGGACAAACAATAACCGTCTTCACTGTGTCGGAATGCTCTGTGCCCGTCTTGAAAACGATCTCGTCGACGTTGCGGTGGAACGCATCCGCAGGAAGATTGACAAGTTCACTTACTCCCTCATCGTCGTTGAATTCTTTGTCGTCATGCTCGCCGTGGACTTTCTTCACTTCGGAATCGAAGTATGTCAGGATTCCGGTGCCGCCGGTGTGCAGCCAGTAGCCCGGTCTTTCGGGGGAATGGCCCTCAATCATTCCCTTGGCGATGGCATTGGCTGCGCCGACGTGGTCGGAGGCGTCGGCGGTGTCTATTCCGTCAGCTTCTATCGTCTTTGATACAGACACAATAAAAAAGATAAGGTAATGGAAAGGAGAAGGGACACAGTGCATACGAAGAACAATATCCGCCCAAGCGGCTTCTTTTACAACAATCTCCGAATCATCTAGACTGCCAATAACAGTGCGGATATTAGGATATGCCTCGCGAACTCGGCTCGCTTTCTCCTCTGTACGGATCAAGGCGGCATATTCAAAACTGGGGTGGTGTTGCGAGAGGTAATACAAGGCATCGCCGCCAATGTAGCCGGTCACGCCGGTGATGAAAAGCTTAGTAGGCATATCGATGACCCTTGGGAAGTATTCAGGGGCTGAGTGATGCTGGCTAACGCACAAAGACCCTGGTGAAGGGTGATGTTTAAATGCTTAACTGGTTCGGTGTGGGGCAATCCATTAGTTAGTACATGACTTCATAACTTACAAATCATCAAATAATCATCATCAAAACATTAGCGCTTTCGTGCATACTCAGCCGTGTCCACTCATAATAGCCAATCACAGCACTTAATTTTGGGAATATGTGGGGTGCGAATAAGGCACCGGACGAATTCTAGTATATACCCAGGAAAGTCTCCGGGTAAGCAATAGAGTATGTCTCCGAGTTATCTATTCAGTATTGGCAAAAGCCGTGATCGGGCTCGGCTATCCAATCGAAAGCTGCTGCTGCATCGGCATTGTCAACGAGCCCTCCTACATAATCATCTTGCGCTGTCCATGGGCCGGAATAGGTAAGAAAGAAATCATCGTACAGGGCAGGCCAGGCAGCGATGCTATCGGCATTCGACTCCAACAAACGGCCTTCTCCGCTTGAAGTCTCTAGCCAGGGATCAGCAGCCTGCGAAGGGCCCTCTTTGCGATCAACAGTCACCTTGCCAAAGTATGGCACGACAATCTCACGACGCTCTCCTTTGTGCAATCCTCGGCTGCTTTTCACTAGGTCTTTCAGCGTGGCATGGCACTGGCCAGATAATGAACATGGTTGATCCTCTGACCAGCTGTACAACGCGATCAGCGTCCGTTCAATCAGCCCATCATCATAGACTTTCTCGGCGGCTCTCTCCTGTACTGCACCTGCAGCATCGTTCCTCCCATAACCGAGCATATTCAAGAAGACAATCACAGCTGCTGTTAGCGCACTCGGTGCTGATTGTTTGATGCTGTTGTCCGTGCGTGCCGCAGCAGGGTCACTCTCATGCAAGAGAAGATACGCTTCTAGGAGAGTCCTTGCGCTCCTCACACAAGCCATCCGACTATACTCCTGCTTATCGCCTTGGGCTCCTTGCAAGAATAATGGCATGTATAGCTGTGCTCTCAAGCTGTGAACATGAGACAGGCGGAAAGCCCGAGTGTGCCTGTCTTTTGCATCTCGACATCGTCTAATCTGCTCCAGATCCAGGTATCCGAATGGTAAATGCGCCGTAATCTCATCGATTTTCTCATCCACTCCCGTGACTGTGGATAATGTAGGACTTTTTTCAGACTGCAGGCAATCAATGACCCGACCAGTCAGGATTGACAGGTGTCGGTAATGAAATTTGACTAATGACTCCTCTTCTGGTGGAGGAATATAAAGATCACAGAGATTCTCGGGTACTGAATATGGCAGGCCAATAAGTAGACTAACCCATCGGTCGGCCGAGAACAACTGCCAGAAAATTGTATCCAGACTCTTGGACTTTCGGTGTGTCCGATGGATTCCCGCAAGCTGCAAGAGCGTATTAGCCTTACGATATGTGGCCCACGCACGACGGGGCTGTAAGGAACTCATGAAGCAGAGCCCCAGGCCCATCAAACACTGCAAGCCATATATACTGCCAGCAAGCTCATCATTGTTCAGGATCCAATGTTCTACTGAAGAAAGATATTTTGCAAAGTCACCCGTGCTGAGAGCAAAGCAGAGTAAGAGACTTCCAAGTAGAGCGGGATGACCGGTTTGGAAAGTCCGAATAGCGAACACCTCAAGGCTGGAATCGCCTTCGTCGCCCCAGCTTAGCCCGAACGATTCACGCCAGGAGTTCCACCATCCACTTTTAGTCTTGAAGATTCCGTTCATTTCAAGTTCTGTTGGTAATGCTGCAAGTAGGCCTTTGAGCGCTTCAGCATGTTCAGTGGGCTGGTGAGATGAGTAGGTCTTGTTGTGCTTAGATCTTTGACTTGATACTTGCTGAGATGCCTCTTTCTCAGCCTCGGGAACTCGACCGATCTGTTCATCTCAGCTTGAGCCTGGCCGCAGTACCGTAAGGTATCCTACCAATTCATGGTCCAAGAGCTTCATGATCGGGGCACGATCACTCTGTATTGAGTCGGCCCCACGTGATGGACCGACGACATCTCGGGCTGGGACATTACTACGAGTCGATTTCAACGATATCTCGATCCTGTTTTGTAGACCTTTCAGAGCCACCAGGACGTCACTGAACTGGCTCGAGCCACGAATGGTCTCCCCGTCGGGTGTGGCTTGCGGCACGGACTGGGTATTTTGATGTCGCGACTTCACTCGGCGACGTTGACGAGATCTATCATTGATCCTAGAGTTCAGATCCAAAGATACACCTTGTGGAACACATGTAGACCCTCGCCTGTCACAATTGGAGCACACGTCGGATTCCTCCGACGGAAAGATGCAGCGGACTTTCCGACGACGACCTACAGGCGGCTGCGGTCAATGTCAGGGGCTCAGAGACACGCGGAGAAATATTTAACACTCACATGCAGTACAGCTGCGTGTACCTTTTCTCATTTTCCGGTTCTGGATCATCAGGGACGGTTTGGTTGACTAACTGGACTGGTTGGACTGGTCCACTTTGTTCGGACGAAGAGGAGGTCGGAGTGAAGTTCGGACGAATTGGGGGTGGAGAAAGCGTGGCGAGGATGTCATTCGTCCGAGCCTCTTAGTCCCGAGCCATGGAGTCTCTCAACTGTCAATGCATGCATATTCTAGAGTGTCCCTACAGTACAGGTAGTGCTTATTGGTCATTACTAATCTGTTTGCCATATAAATTGGACCACTCTCCGTCAGGGGTCTAATCTGCTGCTAGTAAATCTCGGTTCGTTCTATGAACGCCCAAACCAACCACGCTGTCCCACCCTCAAAACTACCCCAAAGCCTAGTCATGTCTGCGACTATATCTACAAAGCAAGTCCGGGTCATTTCACAACATCCGCTGCAATGTGCAAGTGAAACAGCTGTTTCCGTACTGGAGTCACCATTTAAACTAGGACCCCTAGATCATATGGTCTTACCATTCGTGCCTGTGGATGCTGTCTTTGCTTACAGGAAGCCCATATCAGATGCGAACGCAGACGATAATGCTCTGATCGAAGTTGGCCGTCTCCTAAGAGCGCTTGCTCTTGTGTTGGATTACTACCCACATCTAACAGGCCGTCTGCACTTCGACCCTAGGAGCCATCGCCCCAAGATTGTCAGTCTTGGTTTGGGAGCAGAGCTGCTTGAAGCGCGATGTAGCCTACGACTAGATGACATCAAGAGTAATTCAAACCGCCTTCTCCTCACTGACTTGCCCGATTCTGGAAATGCTCTACTGCCGCCCTTCGACTCGATGATAGAGGGTGTATGTCGAGATCCGATCTTGGCCATACAACATACCCGCTTCGCCTGTGGGAGTGTCGCCCTCGGTATCCGTATACATCATATTGCCTGTGATGCCTGTGGATTCTTTCAATTTGCACGCGACTTGGCACAGCTTTATCGTGCTCTTGGGCCTTCCGAGCGAGGTGGGAATGTTGCAGGGACACCTATCCTTTCTCCGCCACCAGAGATCCGCTCCTATCTGCGAGATCCAGGTTCCATGACATCGGAAGAGCGCGAATCTGCACTCCAATCAAACCAATCAGCATACTACCTAGTTGATGATCCCGGCACAAGCTCCAATACTGAGCCCTCCACTGCAGCAAACAAACCAGCACCACCTCCAGTCCTCGGCCGGGTTCTACGATTCTCCAGTCAGAAGCTCCAAGAACTCAAAGCGCGAGCAACAGATCCCAATGGACAGGGCTGGATATCAACCAATGACGCCCTAGTCGCCTACCTATACCAACTCACGTATCGTGCCCGACTCCAGCACCTAATCGCACAAGGAGTACCCGAAACCACCGCATTCAACCAACTCTCCACCGGTATCTTCTCTTCCATCGACATGCGCGGTCCAACCCGTCTCAACCTCCCACCCAGATACTTCCCCAACTGCGTATACGGCGCATACATGTACCTCCAGCCCCAGACTCTGGCCCACGGGCCCCTTTGGAGAGTCGCAAAAGCCTTCCACGACATGTCACATGGCGTAACACCAGAGCAAATGAAACAAAACACACAATGGCTTGCAATCCAGCCAGACAAGAGTCGAATTAGAATGAACTTCGATTTCAACGGCAGCTTCACCACCTCGCAGTGGTCCAAATTTGACATGTACGTCGGGACCGACTTCGATGTGGATCAGCATGGCAATGCAATCCCGCCGGTTGTTGTTTCTCGGCCGTTCACGGATATCTCTCGGGTGGATGGTCTGGCTATGGTCATGGCTTCCGAGGAGCAGGTTTACACTAGCCCATCGAGTAAGGGTCAATGTGCTGTTTATGTGAACTATACGTTGAGTGAGCCGGTATGGGCTTATTTGGATCAGGATGTGGAGTTTGAGGAGATATGTTGTTCCTAAGTTGGGACTTGTGGATGCCGCATTGTATCTTAGCGACTGCTTTGAATATACTCATCAATCTAGCGGATAGGTAGAATATCATATAGCTTGGACCTGCCACGTCTTGGTCAACACCGACGTTGGGGAGAGAAGAAGGTCGCAAGAGAGGAGAACGAGCCGCGACCTTGTCGACGACGAGGAATTCGCCAAGGTAGTGAAGCCCGAAGTGACTATCTATGCCAATTAAATCAGCCGCAACATACCGATATCGGACACGATGGAGTTCAGTTCATTAGCAACAAAAATGCCAACCCTTCATGCAATTCTTTGTTGCCGTTACAATCACCGTCACTGTAGTAGCAATGGAACATAAAGCATTAATTAGCAAACCTTACATCAACTAGCATCATTGGTCTAGTGGTAGAATTCATCGTTGCCATCGATGAGGCCCGTGTTCGATTCACGGATGATGCACTATCTTTTTTGTTTTTCATTTCTTTCTCCCCTTCTCACTACCCGTTCCTTGGTATCGGTAATACGATTCCAATTGCTCGTCTGATTCTACTTTTTGGTTTTCTGATAGACCCCAGTGCTACTCAAGTGCCGTAGCTTCAAATAGCATCTCATAAAATGTTTGAATTTCTCGACCTCCCGGGCACTTGACTGAGCCGACAGGAGAATATTTGGCTATCCTATGATAATACCAGACAAGATAGACTGTGCTATTTACAGAACCTAGTATGCGCCCTTCCGCTTCTTGTACTTGGGCTGATCGACCGACTCGACTTCCCCAAGGGCAGTCAGCACCGGAGTGGTGTAACTCAACTCCAAGCTTTCCAACTTGCCTCCGGCGGAGTCGAGAGCCCACAGGGTCACCGCCAACCAGTTCGTTCCACGGTAGTTCAGAATTCCCTCAGGGACAGGGAAGCTGGTTTGAGGTCCGATGTTGCTGATATATTTAGCATATTGGTATCCGTTGACGTAGACTTGCACGCGGTACGGGGATGGCGTAGTGCTGTTGCCGATGTTGAGGAACAGTGGCACATCCCATCCCTTTGGCAGATCAAGGTCAAACTTGGCGCTATAGAAACCAATGCCTGCCTCGGAGAGTCCCTCAAGAGGGCTGGAAGACTTCCAGTTCCCGCTGGGAGGCTCAGGCTGGTGGAAGCCTTGGCGCTCAGCGTAGAGACCGCCCTCGTTCAGGGGACCGCGAACCTTGTCTTCGTAGTCTTCGCCGCCAAGGTTTCCGGTCAGCTTCCAGCTGATGGCACTGCCTGGACGCCCAGCAAGCAGGAAGTTCAGAATACCACGCGGGGTCTTCATCAGATCCTCACCAACGGTCCAGTTCTCCTCGAGGCCCATGTTGTCGATCACGACGGTGATCACATAAGACTTGCCAGCCTGGAGCTGAGGCAGTTTGTAGGTGGCGTTGTAGTCGGAGTTTACGTAGAGACCGGTCCAAGACCCGAGGTAGGTTCCGTTCAGCCAGACAGAGCTTCCGAACGCTGATCCACCCTGTGTATCGATCGAAAAGGTGCTCTCGTTGCCTGTGGCGGTAAAGTGTCCGCGGTAGAGCAAGTAGCCAGTGTGAAAGCCATAATCGGATGAGTACAGAGAGGTAGGAGTCGTCAGAGACCGAAGCGTATTCTTGGTCTGTTTGAGATCTGCGGCAGGCCAGAGAGAATCATCGTAGGAAGACTGGATCTCAGGAAGAGTGTCCACATACTTCCAGTCCAAGTCCTTCAGGCTGGGAAGCGAGATGTCAGGGGCGTTGTATTCGACAGTAGCTGACCAGATGCCGTTCTTGTCAACGGTGTGCGACGTCTTGTCTCCATTGATGAATAGATTCTTAGCCGTAGACGGGACACCAATCACTTCAACGGAAGTGGTAGCGTTGAAGTCTGCGGTGAGGTAAAGACCGCTGCCCTTCAGGTACGCAGTCCGAACAAGGTAGCCCGCTTTGACGATGATGGATGAGGCGACCGTCTCCGATGTGCTGAATCCTGGTGAAGTGCCATCTGTGGCAAGTTGAGGCACCCAATAGTTATAGGCAGAGTTTCTGTCTGCTAATAGTTAGCTTCATGTGATTCAGCTGGGGAAGTGAACCTACCAAGGAGAAGAACCTTCAGGTCGCCAACTTGGATGATGCGGCGAGTGGTCGACACATCCCAGCCCACCACAACAGACGAGGAGGTCTGCTTTGACGAGATGCCAGAATCAGATCCTTCAATAACCGTGACATTCGACTTGGTTGAAATGGCAAGCTCGTGGTGCTCACCGGCACCTCCGTAAAGCACGAGAACCTTTCCGTCGGCGAACTTCTTCCAGGTAAAGACCTCGGCGGTAGAGTATATAATGTTCGTTCCAGAGACACTGTAGTCGGTCACAAGGATTTTCGAATCGCGACCATTAAGCGTGAGCGTGCCACCAAGCTGAGGAATAGTCACGGTACCAGCACTGGTAGGAAGACGAAGCTTGTATGATGTTGAATCCTCGCTGCTGTAGTCCGAATGTCTAACCACGAAGAAAGAGCCAGTGCTGTTTCCGAGCAGAGGCGTTACAGTCAGGTCCGCGGTATCAGCATATCCGGAAGTTGTCAGATTGCCAGGACTGGCCGTCAAATAACCCGGAGACACTTTGGCGAAGTTGCCAAGAAGCTTAAGTTCACTGTACTTCTCGCGGGTGATGTTGCGGGATTCAGTCACAGCCGAACCATAGTCGTAGGAGGTGTATCCGTTAGGATAACCGAGGTTGCCCCAATTAGTTCCACCAAAGATCTACCCAAATTAGCCATATACTAGCCTAGGTTTCCAGCAGACGTACCATGTACAGGTTCATAATGGCAATCTGGAAGCTAAAGTCGTTCTTATAGAACACTCTCTCGAACTCATTGTTCAAGAGTTCAGAGCACGCAGCGAATCCGGGTCCTCCCCAAGGGTCGTACGAACCACCTTGGAACTGCGAGGTGTTAAACTCGAAATGCTAGTCAGGATACGTATACTAACCTCAACTATCGCATATGGAGTCGTCGGGCTTTGCTCAAGATGAAGGGTACGGAAGTTGGTAGGCAGGTCACCCGAGGGCCATACCGTAGGGTTCGCCTGGACAAATTAGCAACGAGCACACTGAGTTGCAAGATAAACATACACAGTCGAATCCAAGCCTATAGTTGTCAGCCAGTGTTCATAACCAAACGCATGCTTAACTCACGGGTAGCTATCATGGCCGTAAATGTCAACTGCCCCCTTACCAGTTCCAGGAGCGTTGTTCCCCGAAGCCGAAGCATCGTTGTTGATCAACGGTATCACGACACCGGCATTACGAGCCTGGTCTTCAACGTACTGCATGTACACCGGGTCGGGGAACTCCACACCGCAGCAGCCACTAGTGTACTCATTCTCGGGCTGATACAGGATAATCGGACCGCCATTGGTAATCTGATACTTGGCAATGGTTGCAGCGATGTGAGAAACGTAGCTGTGAAAACGTCAGCACGCGCCATAGGTCTCCGGGGCGAGTTTTGCCATACTTATCAGTAGCTTCCAAGTAGGCCTTGTCGCTTGTGCGGAGAGTGCCATTAACCCTCTGCAACCACCCCGGGAATCCGCCACCGGAACTCTCTGCGTTGATGTACGGGCCCGGACGAGCGAGCAGATAGATACCTGCTTCCGAGGCCGCGTCGAAGAACGGCTCCAGATCAAAAATGCCATCTGCCCTGTATTCCCCGGGTTTTCCTTCAACGAGGGCCCAGTCAACATAGAAGGATACGCAGTTGAATCCTAGAGCCTTGACCTTTTGGAAGATGTCAAGCTGGAGCTCTTTTACTGGTAGACTAGAGCGATCAAGAAACCCCGAGTCAACACGAGTATAAAGAGAAGAAAGGGCAGTATTACCGGAATGGGTGGAACTCGCCACTGAAGATCATGATTCTTTCGCCATTGATAAAGAGGGATTTGTCATCCCAAGTGACCTAGTAGGCACCATGTCAGTTGCCAGAAGTGCTGCCATCCATAGGAGTGCATACGTATTTCTGCAACAGTTCCCGCTTGACCGGGTCAGAATGCTCCGTGAGAGTAAAGCCATTGATCCGATGCTTAATGGATGCCCCAGCAGCATGTGCAGCCAGCAAGGCAATAGCACAAGCGGAGGAAAACTTCATGATGCAACACACCCGGGGCGTAAGTAAACGCCAATGGGTCCAAGGGCACGGGGAGTGTCAAATTCCGCGAGAGCTCGGGGAAGCATCATGCCAGCAGGCTCGGGGGAATGAGCCACTTTATTGCCCTCATTCCACCCCCTCAATGTCCGTCCCGACGCTGAATAATGTACGGAGCTGTGAACATACTAGTCGAGCCATGAGTCGGATCCTAGCAACACCGACATCATCGTAGGAGGGGAAGTGGGACCTGTCGAGTCAATTGGTGGTCTCGAGTGTCTGGCATGGGGTTAGTTGGGCATAGCGTAGCGGGCAGGGTCCGAACAGGGCCACGATGGTCAAGCAAGCTCGCAAGAAGCAGTGAGATTGTAAGGTGAAGCAGGCAACTGGAATGACGATCCTCCACAGGGACGACGCCTCATCCGGTTAGTCTGGCCCGGTTTCTCCGCATTGGCTCTCCCGCGCCGGCTAATTGCTTCTCTACTCTCCCGCTCCCCTCTTCTCATCTGCATCTTGTCCATATATCCCTCCTCTATCCGCTGGTCTTTCAGGGAACAGTGACTATCTCATGCAGGAACATTTAAAGATATGCTCTCTCTCTCCTGACGATCAGATTTCGGTTGGCTTTCTCATAGATGAGCGTTCTCTTTCATGGTGCCCACCCACTGCGGGAGGACCCTGGAGCCGAAGCCCCAATCAGCCTAAGCTTCCGGATGGCTGACCTACGGGGTGCCACCGGAGAAATCTTGGTTTCTTGTCCGTGTTGGATATTGCAATCACTGACCTGTCTGGGAGTCTAGTCAGTCATCCTCCAAACTATATGACGAAATCCTTCGCCGCTCGCCAACCGAAATCATGCCACCAGATATGACTGGAGGAACAACTTTTGTATACATCTGTGTCCAAGGACGTGCAGCACCCCAAAGGTAAAGTAGCAAGACATGCAACTTCAAGCAAACAACACAGTTCAGCTGTCCGAGCTTGATTAAATTAGCCGACGGGTCCAGGCCAACTAGCGATACATGCTCTGACGTGTCTGCCTTAAGTATCTCCGACCATTGTCCGAAGTCTATTCATTCGAGTGAAATTGTTCAGTCTATCGAATGGGCTTCATCTTTGAGCACTAAATGCTCAACCATGTAGGCTTCCGGATAGTTGGCTTGCTTCCCGGCCATACCGACCTCGACGACTCTTCTGAGCTCCACACACAATGATATACCATAGCAGCCACCGGATTGAGAATTGGATTGTAGCTTAGTTAAGCTACGGCAGATACGTCTTCGCCAAGTGAGAAAATCCAAGCACCTCGCTCTCCTAGTAGGCGTGAAAATCAATCCGATACCATATTACTGTCTGTCAAGCAGCAAACGACTGCAAGGTCATTTTACATACAATCACGGTGCGGTGACCCCGAGATGTCTTCGACCAGGATATTCTATAGTTGCATCCAAGCACCAAGCGAGAGTCTCTAAGATGCATGAGTCGGTTCGCCTTGACATGGTAGTATCCAGCCAGAGCTTGACATGTCCAATGTAAGAAGAGCAAGCGGAATGAACGAGACTACCAAAACACTTTCAATAGGCAATACACATCAACATGTCATCCAGGATTGTCAGCCTCCAACTCTTCGGTCTTACCTATTGTGTGAAAATCCCTCCTACATCTTACTGTTATTTATTTGCCTCTCAGTACATATGTAGCTTTCTGTATGCCGCTACTTTCGGCTGGGGAAAGTAAGCTTTGAGCTTCTGAACGATGCTTCATTGTGAGAAGACCACGAAGCTGGACGTTTAGACCAATAACACCCCTACTCTGTCCTCACCCATGACACAGGATTCACTATTTCGACATAAGCAGCCCTGGACGTGAGCCCATCCACTGCTGCTCTCAAGTCTGACACCGTTGTCGCAAACTAGACAGTAAACTTCCCTGCATAATTATGTTGCGGGCATATGATGCAGCCAACATATGTGCTACCCAAGGTACTCAGATGCGAGATCCTTGACAGGCATAATTCTCACAGCCCACTACTACAAGCCGTTGATCACGTCAGCTCCACTTTCAGAAACCTTAGAATAGAGCTGACCGATAAGCTTAAAACAGGATCTTGATCTTCTATCAAGATCGGGTACCTTGGTCGCATGGTTCTTTGTAACCAGATATCATGCTGAAAAGCGACAGGTAAACCAGGCATTAGATGCAGAAGAAAATCTACAAAGCGGATGCCCGCACTACCTTGCATGAGCACACAACACAATCCTGAACTGACTAATACAGCAATATGCCTCGGCTCGCCAGCCATTACCCCGAGGCATCAAGCAAATGAGCAACAGACAACTCATACGGCTAAACTTCGGGCACACCGAAGACCGACCGACACTATGCATGCAGCTTACCGGCCATGGCCCACTGCAGCTTCCAGACCACCAAAAACCGTAGTGGCGAAGCATGCCCTCATTCAAGAATCCAATTAGGAGGAACAGACTGATGCTAAGACGCTAACCCGCATCACGGAGGTGACTATACCCCGCACTTCCGCTCTAAAACAAATTGGCTAATATTGCCTCTCCATAAGGCAATTGGACAGAAGATGGGGGGCTTGATAAGAGCAAACCCCTAGACTCGAGCCAACGGGCTTTGTAAAAAGCAAATTTGGATCATATGATGGTCACTGCGGAAGACTAATTCTTCGTGTGCAGTGCATTATTAGCATACTATACCTCGGGAAGGGGAATCATGAAGGATGGCTAGAGTTTATTCTTTTGGCCTGTTACACAAATGCGCCTTTAGAGATCTCTCTTACATGACACCCCTTTCTACCATACATGAACATCCCGCACTGCGAGCAACCCTTTTAGGCCAACAACAACTAAGGACACTCCTATAAATGGAGGGCGAGAAGGTTCAAAACAAACACAAATTGACCAATAAGATAAACCACCACAGGAGGGGAATCTGCAATAGTCGATCTATATGGCACGCTACTATGATGTAGATCTGCAAGGGTCAAGATAAAGAGCATATAACTTAGTCTTCTTGCAAACAGGCTGGCGGGGTTGTGTAACACAGTAAATGACGGAAACAGCATTTGAATGATCACACTCTCTCTCCTCAAGACTGCTCTTATCATATACCAGAGATCAATCTAACAAATAGGGGCATCTCAGTCCTCATCTCGCATCTCTAGTACTATAGTTACCTTGAATAACAGTTCTACTACCACTGCATAATCGTGCATTGATCTACCACCACCACCACACAGCTGAAACACCTAAAAGCGTAGTACTACGCAGCTAGATTTAAATGCAGCAGCAAATATCCTAGTACGTAGGAAACATAGTTTCAGCACATGAAGGATGGACAAGGAATGAACCACCCATCACGTGTAGCGTGCGGGGAGAGAAAGAGGGGGTTGCAGGGACAAGTAAAAAGAAGAGCTGTGAAGTAAGTGGTTACAAAGAGGTCCATTTTAAAGCCAAGGTAGCCCCTCCTCCCCATCTATCTCTCTACTCTTTATTTCTTCTCCTGAATAAAGGCGTCACCCCTTACGTCTACCACCTGTCTTTTGTGTCACGTTTGTACAACAACATCCCACCCATCATACCCACCTGGTATATACCTTTCAATCAGAAGAATATACCCTCAACTAAATAAGCACAATGACCATCACCGAACCCACCACCTCCCTCCCCACGCACCAACGCGCCGCCATCCGCCAAGGCACCGGCCCGACCTCCACAACCACCATCTCAACTATCCCCGTCGAGAGACCCGGCCCGGGCCAAATCCTCGTGAAAATCACCTGGACGGGTCTCTGCGGCTCTGACAAGAGCCTCCTGCACGATGAATGGTCCGGTTTCGGGGTAAGTATGAAGCCCGAGGCCAAGGGGATCGCCGGCCACGAGGGGGTCGGGAGAGTAGTTGCCGTAGGCGAGGGGATGGAGAAGCGATGGAAGATCGGTGACCGAGCCGGAATTAAGTGGATTGCGAGCGTATGTGGGGAATGCGAGTTCTGTTTGACGGGGACGGATGAAGTGAATTGCATCAACCAGAAGAATAGTGGGTTTACGATGCCGGGGACGTTTCAGGAATATTGTCTTGCCGATGGACGATATGCGTCTAGGATTCCGGATGGGGTGAGTGATGAAGAGGCTGGGCCGATGATGTGTGGGGGGGTGACGGTTTATGTGGCTTGTAAGAGGTTAGTACTTCTCCTCTTGCTCTTGAGTGAGGGCTTGGTCTGATGAATGATGGTTCAGGTCGAATGTCAAGGCTGGACAGTGGATTGTCCTCCCTGGTGCTGGGGGTGGGCTTGGTCACTTGGCTATTCAATTTGCGCGGGCCATGGGCATGAGGATCATTGCTATTGATAGTGGCGAGGAGAAGCGCGAGCTGTGCCAGCGGCTTGGGGCAGAGGTGTTCATCGATTTCCAGCAGACGCCCGATGTGGCGGCAGAGGTCATGAAGGTCACCAAGTATGGTGCTCATGGCATTATTGTGACAGCGGCCACCAAGGCTGTTTATGCGGCGGCACCGGGGTATCTTCGGCCAAATGGCACGATGGTGGCTATTGGGTTGCCCAATGATCCTACGATCTTGGCTGGTGCACCGCCGCTGATGATAGCACTCAAGAAACTGAACATCGTGGGATCCATAACTGGTACTTTGCAAGACACCCAGGAGGCGCTGGAGTTTACTGCAAGAGGCATTGTTCATGTGAGTATTGTTGTAAACCTGGTATGACGTGGATTGTGCTGACGGGTAATAGCCTGTTCTAACCAAGGGCAAATTGGAAGACTTGGACTCATGGGTCGATAAGATGGCCAAGGGCCAGCTGGCTGGTCGTACTGTCCTTCAAGTGAGCAGTGATAACTGAGTCCAGCATCAAGGTATCAGTTGCCTGGAACACTTGATCCACGAACTTTTTGGTAGGTTTGTGTACTGCAGAACAAAGCAAGAAACGTGGTCATTCCTGTTCATGTGAGGTCTCGAACTTAGGGTCCATTGCTCCCTAAAAACATCAAAGAAACTGTATATGCCAAAACAATATTCCAAAACAGCCAATGCTTTTCATTCAGATAACTGCCGTATATGCAAACAAACACCTAAAATTATACAGTCGTGTTAAAGCGGTCCTCCTCGTCACCAGCCTTCGAATACGTCTCGCGCGTGTCCATTTGTTCCTGCTCATCCTCGCCCAGCTGCAGGTTCTCACGCTTGATCACCTCTTCCTCCGTCTCGACTGGAGCCGTAGCTGGAGTCTCCTCTCCGTTGACAGCCTCAGTGGCAGGAGTAATCGGCGTCGACGACTGGGCAGCTCGCTTTTGTGTTGTGTTCACCAGGGGAGTGTCATCGTTGAACAGACGCTGAAGCATGGCGCGACGGTCCTCCTTGGGAAGCATGAGGTTGACGGAGTGCAGGGAACGCCAAAGAGGCAGGGTCATCCGCTCACTAGTATTTTGTTGGCTTGTCTGCAGCAACTTATGATAGTCTGGAAGATGTCACTTACTGGAAAGTCTCGTCGGCATCCGGCTTGATGTGCAGGATACTGCAGCCCATGGGGATGTCCCTGACCCGCTCGCCGATCTCTCCAAGCTCCGTCCAGCTATCACCGTCGACCTTGGGGAACATCTCCACGAGAAGTCTGTGAAGAGTCTCCTTCTTGGTCAAGGTGACGGCTCTAGCAGGGCCCAACCAGGGGTTGAGAATCCTCAGTCCGTCAGTCTGGATGCGCCAGCGGCAGACCTCAGGACGCTGCACATCTTGGCGCACGAACATCTTGACACCGCAGTGCACAAACTTCATGCCTTGCTTCTCGTTCGCGGTCAAGATGTCGCGGGCCAGAGAGCTGGTGTAGTAGATGGTGCGAGCCGGGATTGCCTCCGCGTTGCGCACCATGAAGCGGTCCCGAGGGAAACGCTCAGAGATCTCGTAGAACTTGTAGATCGGGTCGAGCTCTTCCTGGTTGGGATCCAGATACTTGAAGGGCTCCTCAATAGGCTGGCCGTTTTTGCGCTTCTGAGGGGCAGCTTGCGGCTGGGCCTCTGCGGGGGCGGGCTTCGCGGACTCAGCAGGAGCAGGAGTCGCGTCAGAGGTCTCGACAGTATCGGACTCGACCACGGCCGCAGGGGCATGAACAGGGCGGTCACCCAAGACAACTTCGGAGCCGTCCTCGAGTTTCGTCCTCTTCGCCGGAAGCTCGTCTTCCAGGCTGTCTGCATCCCTCTTGGCGGGGGAGATCTGGTCAGTAGCAGAGTAGGGGATCTGGTGGGTAGCCTGCGCAACGGATGCGTTCTTTTCGGCTTCCTTCTCAGCCTCCTGGTCAGGAGCAACCAAGTCGTCCAGCGCGCTGATCTTTTCCAGAGGCTGGCCGTCTCCATTCTTCTGCTTGAAGTCGAGCTCTTCCGTCAGGGCAGCAATGGAAGCCTTGGGGATGACCTTGGAGGAATCCTCAGGCTTGGCACGGATTTCAGACACCTTCTCCAAAACGGTAATGAAGAAACCGCCAGTGTCTTGCATGTGGGGGTAGATACGGATACACCTGTCGAGGGGCAGATCCTCCGTAGGGGGGAACATGCCCTCAGCAACCCGGCCAAGGCCACTGATACCCTCGCGCTCCTTGCGCTCTTCGACCTCCTTCCAGCTGTTGTACATGCGACCCTCACGGTCCATGACCTTCCATGTCTTCAAGCCAGAGGCTCTCTTCAGTCCTGGAAGCTCATTGCTGCAGTCGAGAATGCGGACATTGGCCGAGCCGCAGCGCTCCAAAGCGCTAGCAATGACGGCTTCGTTCTCGATGGGGTTCATACTGCAAGTGGAGTAGACCACACGGCCACCGACCTTCAACATCTGCAGAGCGCGGACAAGGATCCGGACCTGAGTGGCGTACAATCCCAGAGCGTTGTTGTAGTTCCAGTCCTTCCAGACACCCCAGTTCTTTCTCGCCGTTCCGTCACCGGTGCAAGGCACATCAGCCAGGATGCGGTCAAACTTGAGGTATTTGTTCTTGACGGGCTTTCCTTCGGGAGCGGGCTCCGGAGGCAACTTGATCGAGGGGAACATCGTGGCGTCGTGGTTCGTCACGATCAAGTTGGGCGAGCTCAGTCGCTTCATCTGGTGGATCAACATGTGGGCGCGCTTGTAGTCGGCGTCGTTGGCGATGAGCAAGCCGGTGGTTCGGCCATCGTCACCCAGACCTTCCGGTCCCATAGGTTCGGCGGAAGCGGTACCCTCAGCCACCTTCGCGGTCACTTGTTGCATAGATTCCTCCTCGCCGGCGTGGATCATCTCCATGAGCTGTGCGGACTTGCTACCAGGGGCAGCACACATATCCAGAACGGTCATGCCAGGCTTGACATCAAGCAGAAGAGGGGGGATCATGCTGACTACCTCCTGTCTGCTGATGTTGCCGACCTCGGTCTCGGCGACGAGAAATTTCTGGAACGAAGCGAAGGGGGCGAAGCGCCGAACGACCTGCTTGGGGGTGGTCATGGACCAGGCGAGTTGGTCGGGGTACCAGGGAACGGGACGGGGAGGCTCGACATCTTTGCCCTCGTATTTGATCGAAGTGATTTCGGGAATGTAGAAGTTCTTGAGCTTTTCCTGGACGGCTAGCGCATGGCTTGAAGCGAACGTCAGTTGCATTGACTCGAACGATATCGCAGGAGCTGCTATAGTCCAGCGCAAGGATAAATAACGTACCCACGAGACCCGGTGAAGCGGAAGCTGTTAGGAAGATCCCTCCTGATGGCCTCCCAGAAAGCCTCCCTCTCCTCCTCGGGGATAAATCCCTGCTCGTTGTAGTAGCTTTCGAACTTGGCGTTTTCCCTGGCGACTTGCTGCCAGTTTTGACGTTCGCGACCGCCGCCGCCCTGCCGAGATAATGAAGTTAGTCCCCACCCACGATGGAAAGCAAATGCAAAAATTGACGAGATAATTATAATCTCCCGGACATGCAGATTGTCTTACATACCTTCTTTCCACGCTTACCCATGATGATCAAGATTAATTGCGATGCGAAAGAACCAGACGAGCTTCCGCAATTTCTCCGCTGCAGAAATCAATCCATCGCCAATCGCGCCTCCAATCCGCCCGCCATTATGTAAGCCCGTCCCGCCATGGAACATCCTCGGGCCGGTACACTAACCGGATGTAGTTAGCCGTCATTCATTCGGATGGATTCACCAGTTGGTGATCGCTCTTGCAACGAGTAGCCCGACCACACACGAGGTTGTCTTCGGGGAAATGACCAGCTGCATAGAATCGATGTCAATGTGCTCAGGAAATGATGAACTCCGAATATATACATATCTACGATCATTCCTAGGGTTAGGCTATAACCACCGAACTGGACGGAATATGTAGCTGGAGCAGTGTCTGTGTAGTACTCTAGGAGCACAGCAGGATAGAACCAATTTCAAGCGCAACTTAGGCCAACCAGGCTCACTTCGTTATGCTCCGAAGATCCTTGGCCTTATCAAATGCTGTCGGCCAGATAATGAGTGCAGGTAGCCCTTGCATTGATTGGCGTCAATATTTCCTATGCCAGCAAAGCAATCACCGCCTCTGATGCGGGCGTGCCTCTTAAGCGGTCATTGTCCGGAGAGCTCAAATCCGTGGGACTCAATGTCATCTAAATGTGCAATTATATCGGGGAAAGAAAATGGATACAGAGTTATCGGACTACTCAACATTTTCCGAGGAAACCACCGAGCAAGAAGATGACATTATATACTACCCGGAAGGAGGTCTCCAGGCATGGCTGGTGGTCTTCGGCGCATGGTGCGCTATGGTCCCAGCCTTGGGCTTGATGAACACTGCGGGGACACTCCATATCTGGACCAGCACCCATCAGCTCAGAGACTACCCCGAGTCAACCTATGGCTGGATTTATGGTGCATATGGATTCTTCCTTTACTTTGCCGGAGCCCAAAGTGGTGCGTTTTTCAGCGTCAAGCTTTGAGTATGACGGACTGATCACCTTATTGACTGTTATAGGGCCAATCTTGGATACATGGGGCCCAACCTACATCATTCTTCCAGGGTCCATCGGCATGGTAGTATCGCTGGTATGCTTCAGTGTTAGTAAAGGTAAGCTTTCGGAGAGAATAGCAGCAGCATCGCAACTGACTATGTGTAGAATACTATCAGATCTTTCTGTCTTTCAGTGTCTTGGGAGGAATATCGGCTAGTGCTCTGTTTACTCCGGCTGTTGCAGCAATCGGCCATTGGTTCAACGTCCGTCGAGCATTTGTCACTGGACTTGCTTGCACAGCAGGTGGACTCGGAGGTGTGATCTTCCCTGCAATCATTTACTTCAATGCGCCAAAGATTGGATTCGGCTGGTCGATCCGAATCATCGCCCTCTTGAGTCTGGTTCTTTGTGCTATCGCGTGTCTTCTGATCAGGACCCGGCTACCCCTCGGTAAAGAAACCGGGGGCAGTGCGCTAGCAGATTTCAAGGCATTGAAAGATCCCAAGTACGCCGTCACCACAGCCGCGATATTTCTTGCTGACTTTGCCGTGTTCGTACCAAACACATACCTTTCTTCATATGCAGTCCACGTCGGGTTGAGCAACACAGTTTCATACTTACTGCTTGTCTTCCTGAACATCGGACTGATCCCTGGCCGTCTGTTACCGGGCCTAGCTGCTGATCGCTTAGGGAGGTTCAACATGATGGTTGTTACCTCCCTCGTGTGCTCAATATTGACCCTGGCATTGTGGTACAAGTCTGGAAGTAGCTTGGGCGCAATTGTCTGTTATGCCGTACTGTTTGGCTTCTGGAGCGGAGCTGCCATGAGTCTGTCCCCGGTCTGTATCTCACAGATCTGTGCAACCGAGGACTACGGAGCGCGGACGGGCACAACGTATACCATCGCCAGTCTCGGCTTACTCACGGGGATTCCGATCGCCGGCGCAATCATCCAGCGCGATCATGGGCAGTACGGCGGGCTCATCATCTTCGCGGGTGTGCTGTATCTCGCGGCAGCAGCAGTGTTTGCCGTAGCTCGGGGGATTTGCAGGGGTTGGTCGTTGAAGACCCGGTTCTGACCAGGGCTCTTCGCTCGGAGAAGAGCTTAGCCAGTCTCAGCCATCCCGGGCCTGCCCCGTGCGTGGCTTAGCAGGGCTGAGTTGAAGCACCACTGCAATAAGCAGCGTGGTATACATGAGAACAGATAGTGCGGAGTTCAAGCAACAGCCTGTCTTGCCGTTATTTGCTTTTGTTGACAGGTGGAAGGTTCCGTATAACCGAAGCAAAATCATCCTTCTGGGTGACAGTGTGTCCAAGGAGCAGACCAGCCCGTTAGTTCCCTAACTAGTGCCTAGCATCCCTGTCGAGCTCAGCTCCGCGAACTCAGCGGTCTGGCCGTTGAGCCTCCATAACAGTATCAATAGCAGTCACAATCCGCCAAAGAATTCACTCTGGCCTGATCAGCCGCACAATCAAACTACCTAGTCCGTCGTTAGTGTTTTAGACCAAGGAATGGGAGCACCAATACCTACTAGTCACCATCATCCCAGCCCAGCAAGTAGAAGCCGCAGCTGAACATAATTTAACTAACGGAATTGGCCAAGCAATGCACCCTATGCCATTGAGGCAGTGGCTGAAAATGAAACCATTTCAACCCGAAAAGCACGGGCTCTAGAAAAGCTTAGATTGCATTGTTAGTGTCGTGTATTGTTGCTAAGTTTGTTCACATGGATAGACGGACCCTATCTATCTAGGCACACTAGGCAGAACCGACGCCCAAAAACCGCGGTCAATCAGTCAACCCGCGAGCGAGCCCTGATCGCGATCCACGCCCGTGTTTTCCCTCCCGCGATGCCCCTAAACACGATCTCGTTACCTAAACATCCACCCTTCAACCTTCATGTCTCAACCTTCAATACGAACTGCCATCTCTTCTTTCGGAATTAATCACCGCGCATCCTCATATAATACTCTTGTCCACCTTAAGACCAAGAAACCAAGAAAACCTAAAACAACCCCCCACCCCTTCACCATTCTGACTGCTGCCAGCCCTCGCTTACGCCCTGACAACAACCCTGACAGACACCCATGTTTGAGGTTCCTGTTGGCCCCCAAACCGAAGGGCCGAAACCAGCTATCTAGATAGGTAGAGATAAACAGCCACTACTTAACTCGTCAAAACTAATTCCTTGGCCCGATCCTAATTCATCTACCCAAATCAGCAGCAGCCAGCGAACGGCCCCTTAGATTCCTGCCCTTACGCCAACCAACACTAATGCAAGGCTGTGTTCGTGTGTGGAGTCTGTCCTGGGGCTGATTCTCGTTTTGTCTCTTTGTTCGATGTGTGACTTTTTCGTTTATTTTTCTCTAGTCACTGTCAGTGCCGTGCGATTTGCATCGCCCCCATGCAAGATCGGGCGTAATTGTAACCAGAGACAGAAGTTATTTAGTTACAGGGGGGGCATGGTGGGTTGGACAAGAGTTATAAGACCCGAGGAGGTATGCTTTGCTGACGGGGAGTCAGTATCACTTTCTTTTATTTTCTACTATTTATTTAAACATACTCGATTCCTTTGATTCTATACATACATTCGTTCAACTGTTTCTTTTCTCTTTCCTACTTATCTACATCACCCGTGAGATACCCAGCATATAAAACACCTTCTCGCTCACCACACCATATACCCAATTACCTCCATCACCACATCCAAACAAAGTAATAAATCAAAATGGGCGAAGGTCAAGAATGGTCCTCCGGTTTCTGGGACTGCTGCTCCCCCTGCGGCACCTGTACGTCCTCCCATCCTCTATCCCCCAATCCCCCCAAACACCACAAAACACACACACACATACACCCAGCTAACCAAATATACACAAACGAACAGGCTTCCTCGGCTGCTGCTGTCCCTGCTGCCTGCACGGCCGTACCAGCTCTCGTCTCGAAGACCCCACCCTGAAAGATGATAGCATGATGAACGGTGGTGTACGTTCACCTACCTAATCATCCCACCAAACCCAGGTCTCCTCCATTTCATACTAACAATGCAATGCAGTGCTGCCTCTACTTCCTCCTCAGCTACTGCGGCTTCCACTTTATCCCTTTGATGATGAAGCGTGGCCAAATCCGAGAGAAATTCGGCCTAGAAGGGTCCGGATGCGGGGATTGTATGCGGGCGTGCTGCTGCCCGTGCTGCACGCTCATGCAGCATGAGAAGGAGTTGGAGAGTCGGGCGGCGTTGTTGGAGGGCGGTGCTGGTGCGCAGCAGGGGTATAAGGCTCCTGGGGGCATGCAGTATGCTTAAATCTCAACTTAGGAATAATTTTTGGGTGATTTTGTGTTTGTGTCGTCGAAGGCATTGGGATTTTGGATCATAGTTTTTTTTGTTCCGTCCGGGATGGGTGTTTGTTGGTGTTTTGCTGTTTGATTATATTTCTCTTGGGGTGAAAATACACGAGAGGTGAACTGATAAACTGACTGGTGTTGTTCTTCTACGGTGTAACGGTGCAAAACTGAAACTAAACAAATACATTTTGATATAGCGACAGTTGTGTACTGTACATGACACGCTCCTTCGGGCACGACCACCGCTTCTATCTATTAGAAAATCACCAAAACAAGAAAACACGGGCCATAAATCTTCTTCTCCTTCTTCTCTCACTCGCACTCTCTCAATCCACATTCATGAGCTCTCCCTTTTTACAGAGAGTTGCGGCTCATGTCCGCACGGATACGGTTGTAGTCGAGGACGGCCTCGATGCTGCCGACAGCGCTCATGGCAATGTCCTGATCCCACAGCTTGCGGGAGGCGAAGTCCATGACATCCTTCTCGGTGATCTGGCTGATCGTGCGCTCGATGTCCTCGGGGCTGAGGCGGCGGCCGGTGGTGATGATCTGGCGACCAATGTCTTCGGCAACGGCGGTGGTGCCGTCGAGGGAGAGGAGGATGGAGGCCTTCAGCTGAGCCTTGGCGCGCTCAACCTCAGCGGAGGTGACGTTGTAGCTCAGGCGAGACCATTCACGGAGGGTGAAGTGGATGAGGTCCTCGAGGCGGGTGACGTTCTCGGAGGTCAGGTAGATACCCCACAGACTGTATACCAATTAATTAGCGAAAATCTTTGAAAACAAACAGCATATAACCTACCCAGTGTCGCTGTAGCTGGTGGAGAAACTCATGAAGCTGTTGGCAAGGCCGTGGTACTCAACGAAAGAGCTGAGCTTGCTGCCAAGGTAGGAGGAGTTACCCATGGCACGGTCCCAGTTACCGACGATGGCCTGGGTGACGAGAGCGGTGAAGTAGTCATCGTCCTTCCAGCTGACACCCTCGACGGCAAGGGCAATGTGGGCAGTGGGGAGGGTGTCGTCACGGATTCTGACCTCGGAACCGATGAACTCGGGGATACGCTTCTGCTCGGCGGTGAGGGCCAGGGCAGCAGAGGTCGGGGGCTTGCTGGGGAGGCCACCGAAGTGCTCCTCAGCGAGTCTCACGAGCTGCTCGTGGGGGATACCACCGGCACCAACGAGGACCATGCGGTCAGCAGTGTAGTTGGTCTTGATGTAGTCGACCAGGTTGTCACGGGAGATGGTCTGGATGTTCTGCTTGGGGCCGAGGATGGTGCGACCGAGGGGCTGGTTCTGGAAAGCAGTGGCGTGAAGGTGGTCGAAAACAACCTCCTCGAGCTGCTTGTCGACCTCCTCCTGCTCACGGAGGATGACGTCGCGCTCACGCTCGATGGCAGTGGGCTCCAGCTTGGAGTTCTGAAGGATATCGGCGAGGATGTCGACGGCCTTGGGGACATCGTTGTTGAAGGACTTGGCGTAGTAGACGGTGTTCTCGCGCTGTATTCATGCGGCGTTAGTTGCGATCCAAGGGAATTGATTCTTCCATGTTTCCGGGCCGTACCGATGTGTAGGCGTTCAGGTGAGCGCCCATGTTCTCGATCTCGAGCTCCAATTGGTGCTGGGAACGCTTGTTGGTGCCCTAGTTGATGTCAGCAATCGCATTTCCAGGCCACCAATTTGCAAGTTTTATATACCTTGAAAGCAAGGTGCTCCAGGAAGTGCGCGGTTCCGTTGGTCTTGTCAGTCTCTGCCCGGCTACCGGCATCGATCCACACGCCAACAGTGGAGGTCTGAGCCCATGGAGAGTACTCAGTAGCGATCTGAGGCAAGTCAGTGAGTTCCTTGAGCCATTGAGATAACCCATTCGGCGTACCGTGAAACCGTTGGAGAGAGTGGTGGACTGGGTGGTGGAAGGCAAGGTGACCGGGGAAGCGAAGCCACGCTTGACGGGCTGGATGGCCTTCAGGGCGGCCTTGCTCCGGAGAGCCTGGTTAAGGTTGAACGCTAGGCGCCGAGAAGCCATTGTGTGAAGATGGAGGTGGGTTGGGGGGAAGGAGGGAGGAATGAGGAAGGGTGCAACAAGACGGTCAGGTCAGCCCTGGAGATGCGAGGTTGAAGTTCGGGAGTCAAATTGTTCGCCCATCCGCCAGCCAATCACATGACCCGCTTTTCCAAACCACCGCATTCGCTCCGACTGTTCCCTAGCTTCTTTTGCTTAGACAGTTGTTGCTACGAGCACGGTCTGGAGACCGCCATTCAATAGTGTACAACATCATTTAAAGCCAGACAGGATCTATACTCATCAAAAAACATCAACAATCAAAAACCAATCTCCTACTTTGATCCTCCTCACCATAATTACTACATATCACATGACTCCACTATACCCAAAGCAGTTAACCTCCATACAATGAGTCCCAATAGCATATTAATCAATCACTTCCATTACTACCATCATCACCACTGAATACAACCTACTCACTCCCCAAACTCTTCGCATACATCTCCACATTCTCCCTCATCGACACATCCCCCACAAACCCCAACTCCAACGCCCTCTTGGTATCAAAATTGGGCGTCCACGTCTGCACAATCCGATCAATATCCGCATCATACCTCTCCTCCACCAACTCTCTCCTCTCCTTCCCCCCAATACTCTCCAACGCCTCCAACATCTCCGCAATACTAACCTTTGACCCAGGCAAGTTGACCGATCTCGAATCCCCAAACTTTTCCGCAGGAATCTCCCTCGCCTTAACCAAATTCCTCACCACCGTCGCCGGCGAACAAATCCACATCTCCGTCTCCTTAGCAACCGGCAGCACCGCAGGCCGACCATTAAACGGCTCCCGAATAATATCACTCGCGAAGCTACTCGCCGCCTGTGTCGGCTTTCCCGCCCTCACAGTAACAGTGGGGAGACGGACGGCACGACCGTCCAGGAACCCGCGACGGGAGTAATCATTCAACAGCGTCTCGATGATGAGTTTCTGAGATCCGTACGACGAGGACGGCACGGCGGGGAAGTTGCTCTCGTTAATGATATATCCTGGCGGTGCGAGGCCATATACTGCTAGACTGGAGGTGAAGACGACTTTGACGCCGGGTGTGACGGTGCGGAGGCGGTCGAGGATGTAGCGGGTTGCGTCGAGGTTGACGCGCATGCCTAATTCGAAATTCGCTTCAGATCCGCTGGACATGATACCGTGGAGGAGGTAGATGGTGTCGTAGCGGTTGGTGGAGGTGATGAGGCTGTCGACTACGCTTGGGTTCGTGAGGTCTGCTTCGATGCATTGTGCGCGGGAGGCATATTGGGCTGCGCTCTTAGGGACTGTAGGGAGAACGACGTCCGTGAGTGTTACTGTCGATGATGGGAGGGTGGTGAGGAGGGCTGCGGCGAGTTCTTGTCCAACGTAGCCGCTGGCTCCGGTGATGAGTATAGACATGTTGTAGTCGTAGCTGTAGTTCTCGCTGTAAATTGATGTGTGTTGGGAGTTGCCAGATATGCGGATTGCTGCAGACTGGCTTTTTTGGGTAAGTGATAGTGATGTCGCATTATATGACTTCTTATATAGTAAAGGCAGTCAGCCTGCTGCGGGGTTGAGCGGAGACTTCAGAACCGCTACTGCGAATGCAGTCATTCAATTGCCTCATCTCCAATCCAAAGTCGCTCACTCATCTTGAAATCGCTCAAAATGAAGCCTCTCATTAGTCCAGCGTCATGGATCCACGCAGCAAGTCCGATTAGTGGAATTTATTGAGGCATTTCGGTCTGTTCTCCGCTGAACGGTCCGAGTGCCGAGATGTGGGCAGAAAGCGGATGGCCGGGGAAAGTCCGAGATGGATCAACGTACGATGGGCTATGGGTGTTGTCTAGTAATACTACACGTTGTATTACACAAAATAAGGGTGAATCATTGACCAGCTTAATTAGCAGCTAAACTCTTGAACGACCAGAAACCGTAAACCTCGAAATTTTCTGACTCAAGAAGTACATCTAAGAAACCTGGACATGAGGACACACAAGGAAAAAATTCGAGAAAAATTGCAACAGATCACGGAACACTCGACGCCGTAAAAAGGGGAAGCATAATTATGACATGAGAGAGACAAAAGAGCAAAAACCACCGGATTCTTTTTGTTTCTTAAATTCATGCAGAGCGCTTGTAGATACCAGACACTATACAGTGGTCACGTTCGAAAGGCTCCAGGGTCAGCTGCTCCCTGGGCTTGATCCTCTCCTCTCTCATCTTCTGGACTTCACGAGCGAACACAACCTCGGGCTTGGCGGTACTGTCGATACAGTTGGCCTTGACGGAGACAATGACACCACCGCCCTCCTTGAGGAACATGTGGGCGTTCAGGCCGACAATACGGGCCTGGTCGGGCTGGGCAACATCGGCGAAGATGACATCGACCATGGGGACGAGCATGCGGTAGCGGAGAGGGTGTCTGGCGTCCTCGACAATGGGGATAACGTTGGTGCGGTGGGTAGCCATGCCGATCAAGTCACGACCGGAACGGTGGGAGAACTCAACGGCGTAGACGTTACCAGTAGGTCCGACGATATCGGCAACGTGACTGACGGAGGTACCGCTGGCGGAACCGAGATACAGGACCTTAGAGCCAGGGCGCATGTAGATGTCATCCAGACCACCCAGGATACCGGCAGCCAACTTGGAACGGAAGGGGTTCCAGACACGGTATTCGGTCTTGGTGACAGTGCCATCCTCCTCAGCGGGGGACTCGACAGAAATGCGCTTCTCACCGTAGACGGCCTCTCCGGGAGTAAGGTTCTTGGTGACGAGCAAATCTTCCTTGCCACCACGGGCGACGAAGACACCAGCGTGACGGTGGGGTTCCTATGCGAATTCCTGTTAGATTCCATCCAATTTCTTTCTTCTCGATTGGATAATCAGGGAACACCTACAATGATGACCTTAGCACCACCTTTAGCACCCTTAGCACCGCCGCGACCACCGCCGCGAGGACCACCACGGCCACGGGGGGCACCACGACCACCGCGGGGAGCACCACGGCCACCACCGCCACGGCCACGACCACCGGCACCAAGACCGCCTATAGAACGTGAAAAGATTAGCGACACGCTCCTTTTTCCCTTAAAGGGAGAACCGCAGATCCGGCACGCGATTCGAGTCGACCATCTGAAAACCTGATATGCTCTTGGAGAAGACAAAACTTTTCCATCGCAACATGCAAGATCAAACTGATTCGACGACAGCAATGCGAACAGATCACATCGACCCGCATGCCTTCCACGTTTCTCCCAAGATGAAATCAATCGATGGTGAACAAACCTCTACCACCACGGCCACCACCACCTCCACGAGGAGCACCACGGCCACCGCCACGTCCACCACGAGGGCCACCGAATGCCATTGTGATATATGTGATTTAAATCGGAAAAATGTCGATAAAGACGTTAAGTCAAAATGCTGTCAGTCCAGAAAAGTTATCGGACTGATGCTTCGATTCTTCGGTTGCGGTATAACCGGAGAATAGGAAAAAGAAAAATTGGCAAGGAAGGCCCGTTCGGGAGAAGGAAAATCCGAAATTTTCGAGTCTCGAGGACCTTGAAGAGAAGCTTTTGCAGAAAAAATGCACCCGCACTGGTGTTCAGTGTTCGGTCGAGGCCGTGCTGTTCGTCGTTGTTGCGGTCGAGATTTTTCAGACGGAGCCTTGGATTCTTTCGAAATTCAGTCGGCACTAGGCCCCGTTGGGTGCTAGCGCGGCTTGCTGCTGTGGGCACTGAAGGCACGTGACTGCGCTGGATAGCGAGGTCACCTGACGCTGGCCAGCCCTGCCAATCGGAAAGCGCATCGCTCTTCTCTGACAACTCGGCGCTTAAGACTGACCCTCAACAGTTGCAGAATTGACAGCTACGCTACCTAATGGGCCAGGATTACGCGCTACTGATTACTCTAACATGATGTATAGTGTACCTGTCATGAAAAATTCCTTCAGTTCTATCTATTTACAGTGCAACTGCTCTGTACCCCACCCTCCATCATGCCCCATAGAAATAATAGTTGGCCGCATACTGCACAGTAAACACCGACTGCATTCCCTGACAGGTCTTCGGGGCTGAACCGGCAACCGTGTCTACTCGATAGACCGCTTCATACTCACCGACGGTACCGTTGATAGTGGTCAGGTACAGCCATTGGACAGCCCCATTGCTACCCTGAATAGCACTCGACGGAGCATCGATCGAGTCTTGTTTCTTCGTGATCGCAATCCCATACTGCCGAGACGCCAGAGTATCCAGGTTAAAAACTGGTGTGGTCGTACCTCTAAAGAAATGATGACCCAAGAGTTCAAGGTTTGCCGGCGGGAGAGGTTCCTCCTCGTTACTGGGCAACTGTTCCTTGTACACTATACCTGGGAGTAACGACAACATGTCTGGGTAATTGGCCGCGATGCAGGTTGCATTGTAAAGACGCGCCACTGCACCTATGGCTTGGGGTGTTGAGCTCGAGGTCGAAGTGGCACAGGTGTAGTTCTAAGGAGAGGGCTTGTCAGTTTGAACGGTTCTCCCCCTGCATTGTTTGTGTGACAGTAGGCGGGTCAGTTTCTGCTTACCTGGGTGCCACGGCCCACAGCCACATAAATTGGGCTCATTCCGGACGGTGAGGGCAGGCTGGACGCGTATGACGGGAGGGAGATTTTGGATGTGTCGCATGAGTTGACGCTCTTGATGAGCTCTTCTCCCGTGCTCTCGATGTACTTGCTCACTTTTCCGAGGTAGGTGGCTAAATCTGACGAGTAGTCGTATACGTCGTTTAGGAGAGTCGGTGCTGCCACGGAGCCTGCTGTCAGGCAGCCCACGAGGAAGAGGTTTGCACGCATTCCGGATGCTTGGTACAAACGTGATATTCTATTTCGAAGAGGGTGGCAGGATCAAAATAGCATACACTATATGCGAGGATAGATTGAAGTTTAAGGATGGAGAAGTTGAGCGGAGGGAGGTTCTAATGCTGACGGGTATCTCTGAAGATGATTAGCAATCGTGAAGAGTTGAAGGAGATGAAAGAAAGAGATGATCTCTCTCCCCTGAGATGAACTAACTATTGGATGGCTGGGACCTGAAGAAAAGAAGAGAAGGATGCATCCAGCTGGACGAAGGGCTATATAAGAATTATTTCGAACAGACCGACAGCCACAAGAAGAAGGCTTGCATGTGCAATCAAACGCAGTACCACACCGGCCTCTCGAAACCCATAATGTTGTATCTATAAACAGCCTCGACTCACAGCAAGCCTGAAGGCGCCCACAGCACGCACAAGCAATGCGAATCTCCCATTGGTGCAAGAATGGGCGCCAGGCATGAATCCTTCACGCCTCCAAAAGTGCCGAAAGTAACAGTATACGAGGGTGGGCCACGCGAAACACGGTCGTCTATCCTGGCGACTATTTCTGCAGAAGATAGAGTCGTTGGCGCGCCATGATTGGTATATCGAACGATCGAAGCCTTTTTGACTAACCCTGTCTAGTGACAAGGTTTCATTGGCGCCGACTGTTTAAAAAATGTCCGATCGCCTTTCACCGGCTATTAATAGAGCAGCCCTAATATCTCACCGTGAGGGGTCGGCGCTTAGCTTACTAGAAGCTTGCCAATGCCGGTTAGCCTGCAGATTCCCGTCCACACTCCCCCATGAACAACTTGACGACTACTAATCTATCTATCCTACCCCCCCACGGTGTGTGTATCCACAGTATGATTTGGCAAATCGGCGATCGCTGTAGGGGCTGGTTATTTTTGGAAGATCCTTTCACAGCAGGGACTATCTGGGCTTATTATAAGAGAGGCCTGTGCTCGACGCTTAGCTACGCTTCTAGTGTAGGGCAACGGCTGTTATCTTGGACTTGACCATTGTTGAAGTTGAACTGAGGTTTATTATTGCCAATGCTAATTAATATGTGATGCAATGTGCTTGATCAGTGTTGTTCCTGAATCGAAGCAGGTACTCATCAAAATTGACGTACTAGACACCCTCGTGGAGGTACCAACTGCACCCCCCATACAGCACATGCCAGACGCAGGATGGCCCATCCCCTTTCTGAGATAGTAAGTTCAATCCTGCCGACAGGGATTGTAGATTAAGCGGCATAAAAATAGGAACGGTAGACTCTATACCGGCTAAGTAAGGTTACTAGTCGCAATCTCGAAGCATCTCACGTCACAAGCTCTCTATTCTGAGTCTCATGGAAGCTACTGCCGATCCTAATTCCCTCCCAACAACCAATTATGACATCAGGGCGTGCAGAGATAACCAAGCTTCTGAGAAAGCACAGTGATACTCGTTCTTGTAAGCTCCACCGGAAGGCCAACCCCACAGCTTGTTGATGCCTGGGAATCCCCTCTCCATCAAAAGCAATTCTGCCCTACCACAGATGAGTTGTCCTGACCAAATATTCTTCTAGGCACCTACTAACCCGTAAATCAAAACAGAGTCTGTGTTGATAGTACGTCTATACCCACAATGGCCATCCTTGACCCGAATGCAACCCTCTTATCATGTATAGGACGGGCTCTCAGACACCATCAGCGGCATATTCCGCTTTCTCTAAGTAGCTTCTCCAAATAGCGGAGTCAGTCTCACTTCTGCAGCCATTGCACGACTAGTTCTGACTTCCGGTGTGATACCCTCAAGCCTGCAACACACTTGTCACCGTCTCCGCGACGGATCATCAGCTCCTCGAGTCATTTGAACCATCCCCGAAACCGTGAATGTCCTCGCTTCCCTGCTAACCCCCACGTGTCATGCGCTATTTCTCGGGGATAACTCCTCTTGTGACTTCGCGTGCATACATAGTGTGGTTTTCTGGATCCATGGCTCGGAGAGCTTTCGGTCTTCGGCCTTGCCGTCTACGTGAAGAGGACCTTGGCTATCATGGGTGATTTTTTTGCATTTTGTGGAGTATCAGCTCCGTCTGTCCGTGTCTGATTAGGGATTGATGTATCTACGTTACTATTTATGTAGTTTAATGATGTCACCAATGTCTACGAAGTGGAAGATGTCGATGCTTACTCGGATAGAGCGGGTTAAAGGCTTTTGAAGGTGGTACTGGCAGTGGCACATGTGTTCTGATGAGATAGAGAGACATGCGAGTAGATGAAACCTTGTGTCCATTGCAAAGAACACGGTAGCCCACTAATCCGCCACTTCCAGACACACCCATGCGTAGAGAAAGACACATTAGTGATTCAATAATATTATCCTTTTGTAGGAGCCAAGAAAAGAATTGGAACCGGACTCCATGCGGATGTGACGGAAGCTCTCAACTTTTGCCCCTTTCCTTCAGTCTCGAGTGAGTAGTTGATCCGCTCGAGGTCTATGGGTGGAAGGTCACACGCGGTTTGCTGAACCACTGGGGCTATTTTGTGCGCTTCAGGAAGTTCTTAATCTGGAGGAAAGCCCACAAATCGTTATAATTCTCTTTTACTTGTTTGCTATGCCGTTTCTGTTGCCGTACCCGTGTAGACTACTTGTTCAAATCCCTGAACTTTGCATTTGTCAAGGACTTATCCGGTGTCATTCTTCCAGTCATCACAGGTGATAAGTCCAAATACTCCCGCAATGTTGTCCGGGGATCTCGGACCACATGTGGCCGATATGAGCCCATTGTCAGGTTCTTAGCGCTTTCCCAATTATATACAAAGCTTTTGCAATTGGCATATTTTGTCCTTGAAACGGGTAGAGCATCTATCCCGAAAAATGGTGGTACTTTGCTGGAAGAAACTTCCATTAGCGGAGCACATAAAAAAATAATTTATTTGTAAGATGCCTTTTTCGAATTACCATCACAAGGTGGCTCTCGAGTCATAAAGCTGTCGTGATTATAATTAAGCGGCTACTAAACAACGGGTGGGCGTCCCTTCAAAGGACTGCTCACAAATTCAATGTACCTGTGAATCGACATTATTATTCAATGTTTTCGCTTGTTATAAAAGCTGTAACGTGTCAGGTAGAACTCAGCCAGGTACATGTGAATAATCGGCATATCCCAGCACGGCCCATGTGCAGTCATTTTGATAATCGATGTTCGATTATAGTAACCGGAAGACCGACGTCTCCAACGGCATATCAATCCTACTAGCAAATGACACCTTTCAACAGCAATCAGACTATGAAGTATTGCCAAGTGTATTCCGAAAGTGTCGTCAACATTTTCGCTTCCCCAAAATTATCTTGTCATCAAGAACACCTCATAGGGACTTTGGAGATATTCATGTGTATATGCATGAGCTTAATGTCGGAACTTTTCCGTGAGGACTGAGGTTATCGGTTCGGTTTCTGCACACTCAGGCATCATTTGTCTCGTTAGATCTCAGTTGTTTCTTTCAAGAAGGAACCTGAGAATTATCTAGGCCATCCGAGAGCCAAATCTCGATTTGGCAGGTTAGGGCTAAAGGGTGAGGCCTTCCTTCCAGGTGTCCTGCTGTAATAATAAACATTCCTCAACACTTCCTTGACCCTACCACATTCCCTGCTATTGTCTATCACGAATACGACCTTCTTTTCCATTATCTTCATAGCTTATTATTACTGACTCTTTCGTCATCTATCCAGAACGTCATTGTCTCCTCAACGGACGGTCCAAGCCCAAATCTGCTCGAGATGGCAGGCGAATGGTTTCGACGAGCGCCTGCCCGGGAGAACATTGAGGCAAATGATTGCGAGGAAGCAGGACAAGTTCACACCGGAGATGAGAGCATTGGGGGTGAGTCACCCGATATCTCCCATGTGAAGCAGCAGGCTAAAGCCATATCAAGCATCTAGAACGGAGTTTTGTGAAAGCGACAAGTCATTGCCATTATCGGAGTCTACTTCTGGGCTAAGAAGACGATACCGCATCGTAACGGACTTGAGCAACAGACTTATAGAAGCTAGACCCAGGGTTGTCTTTCGGGCACACTGCGTTGTGCCTGGGTTCAAAAACGCCCTTCCGCTCTTAGACAGCAAGGCGCCTGATTTCAATCACGTCTATGGTCTCATACACTTTTTGAAACATGGCGAACCTGCTTGGACTTCTGATGGTTTTGAACATGAAATGAGCAAGGTGATATCTGCATATTATCGCTGTGCCAAAGAGGGGCGGAGTAAAGGCTCATGGGTGATGGACTATGTCCGACCGCTCTTAGACTTAGCTATCGATGATCTGCCCTTGGATTCGTGGAGCGTGTAAGCCACCGTGCACAAGTCGCAGCAAGAATTTGGAAGCTAACAAACTCGGTTGCAGGCAAGCGGAGCCTGTGAGGGACAAGTATCTGCCTGTTCATAGTGCGAGAGGCATGTTCAATCATGACCTTGACTTAGTCGTTGGTCTACCGAAAGAGCCTTGGAAAGAATGTTATAGGCTCGCCGGGATAGATATCCCTGATCGAGAGATGAGTCACATCGAGGATGCGCACACAGGGAAAAGACTACTTGGCCTCGGTGTTAAAGTCAAAGGACTTGATGGTACTAGTGCTGAAGCTCGAGTACAATTGGGAGTATGGATGGCTGGTCTAATGTCTTGGGCTCATGATTCTTATCGACATGTCTGTCCGGGTATTCCCCCTCCACCTGTTATCGGATGCACAGTGGTGGGGCCAATCTGGAAGTTCTACATAATATATGCGATGGGTTGTTCTTCTGGGGCGTTAAAAGATGTGGTACGCTGATTCATAGGTTTATTGCTTTGTATTCATCTTTGAACTGACATCTGCAGTATGTCTGGGGTCCCATTCCCGAGCTCCAGGGGGATGCCACAAGCCGAAAATGCATGGTTGAACTTGTCATCACCTTGAACCGTGTCATGCAGTATATCCGCAGGGATTATGCGCCGCTAATGTTTGGTCGCCTTAACTTGAATCTCTGACGAGCCGAGTCTCACGCTGGTTCCGTTTCCTGTCCCTTCATAGCGGAATTTGCCACGGCCATGTTGACTAGAGTCTGGATATCTCTTTTAGCTAGGTAATTTACATCGTATTACTCACTCAGAATCTGAACGGTTGCTTCTCTCTAGATATTCGGAGCAAGACTGACTGTCTTGGGACAAGGTACAAGAAGTGATTAATGGTCGGGGGTGGCCTAATCCATATCAACACCACCTTACTTAAACTACTTATAGAGCGTTCCATCCTCCCAGGAATCATTGAGGCATTGCAGCATTATCCTCCTAATCCTTTTGATCTTCACCTCAACACTATTCTTGCATATCTTAGCGCTCCGGCGCTAACTTCCGCATTTGGTAGTACTTTGCGAGATGCATAACCAGAGGATTTTATGGTGTGTTAGTCAGCTTGCTTAATTTGCATATCTAATCATTGCGATGTGTAGTATGTTGCAGTCTACCTAATTTCTTGTTACGAGAGAAGCATTTGGTAATTGGGTGGTTCTACATTCTATCTGGGTTCTATCGTGATGTGGTATGATATGGTAGATAGCCGGTAGAGCTAGTATAAATGGAAAGACCATTGTTTCATTGCCGCATTGTATGTATCCCACGAGTCTACATACATATATTGAAGTATTCTGATATAGAGAGGGCTAGTCTCACGCCACAGACGTCTCAGCCGAAGCCGTTTTATGAAGCGGAAAGTTCCTAGGGTCACTGTCCTTGTTGTAAGTATGGGCGGATTTCCACCGGCGACGTAGGAGCGTAAATACAATCAAGGAGATAATTGCAATCCCGGCGACGGCAGAGCCGACACCAATGCCTGCGATAGCGCCTTTGCTGAGTCCAGAGCTGCCGGAACTAGAGCTAGTGGATGTCGCAGCTGAGGTGGAACTGCTTGTGGTTGTGCTGGATGCGCAGATAGATCCACGCCATTGGTGGAAGGTGCCATCTTGGCCGGCACAGTCCCTGGGTTTCGTTAGACTTGGATGGTAATGGTTCGGTAGGGGGGGAGGGGTACGGACGAGAAGATGCAGTCCTGGGTTTGGGTGGCGAAGGAATCCGAGTCACAATAACAGGCTGTGTTGTTGCTGGGTGTTGGGGTTAGCTTTTGTGGGTTGCGAAGGGGGGGG